CAAGTAGATCAATCAGGTCTAGAAATATAAAAACAGTTTATCAAAAGAGGACCCCAATACATAAATACCCAAAGCTGGTTTATGTGACAATGTTGTAGATATTCATCTACAGAATAGCCATTTGGAATTGTAAATTAATAATAGTATTTACAATTTTCGTTAGCATTTCTTTGAACATGCTTTCAATTTTTAAAAAACCAGAATACTTAGAATGCAAAATATGTCCCATATAGAAACCATCGTGCTCCTTGTAAATCTATTAATAATTTAAAAATCTACAAATGGGAGATTTGCTTTCGCTAGATAATATACAATATTAGTAATTATCTTGGTTTGTTTATCAATGTGATTCCAATCTATGGGAGAATTTTTTTTTAATATTTGGTTTCGTATTCGTCAGCTGTTTTGGGCATCTGAATCGGCATGTTTCCAAATTCTTGAGTTTTTATATTCTTCTTGAAATGGCTGCTATCAATTGTATAATTGTTCACTTGATATATGTAGGCCTTGTTGGGTAAGAAGGGGTACAGCAAGTAAACGGCAAGTTAAAATGGATACAATGACATTCTCCTATTTCTATTGGATATTCTTTTTTTTAAGAACCAATTTAAAGTAAGGAAGGAAGTATTAGTTTTTGAATAAATAAATGTACAATATTTTGTTTATAAAATATTTTATGCTAATTACATGATTAAAAAATATTATTAATATGCTAAAAATACCATTATAAAAATAATTCTTTCATTTTGCCCCATGACTTATTTAATTCACCCGCTCATTTATTTAAAAATATGTTTAACCCTTACCACCCAATATTTAAAAATTATTTTATTGGCTAGTTTGACTCTTTATTTATTTGATTTTAATGTAATTTCACTTATTCAAATTCATCTGCCCATTCGTTTAGTAATATATTTTTAAATAACCCACTCATCCCCCACTCCCCCCCTTCCCTCCCCCCTAACGTCTAAACTTTTTAAAGATAAAAAATTTAAACAATAGACAAACCCTCTAAAATAAATCATACAACGTTATCGAGTCATGTATGTATAATTTTAAAAAAATTCAAAAACCTTCAATTAATTTTTTTAAATGTCCCCGGACTGGGGCTAAAATTGTTTTCCAAATATTAAAAATAAATTTTTAAAATAATCTGGGCCGCGCCAGAAAATAAAAATTGGGCACGGCCAGACCGCTTTAAATAGTAACTCAACAGGCGTCCAAAAAATATACAGCCACTTTTTTTAAAATTAGAACCGGTTTAGGAGTTCCTATAAATTTTAAAATGGGTTATAAAAACAAAATTAAAATATGGTTTCAAGTTCTAATTCCTGAATTTTTCATCTCTTTTAAGATTTCAGTATCTGGTTCCCCTTTCTAATCTCCTAAATTCTATTTTTATATATTTTTCGCCTTCAATAATTTTATCTTAGACATAAGCAATTTATACGTCATTATATTCACTTATTCAAAATCAACAAAAAAAAAGGATACCTAAATCGAATATATATTTTTTTAATATACAGTGTGTCGACAGGGTCCCAGATTTAATTCAAAACATTTCCATATTTTTTAATATGTTTGAAAATAATATTATTTAACTTGTAAAAATTGATAAGAATAAATATATAAATATGTTTTTTGCAAGTCAAATAATTTTATTTTCATATAAATTGAAAAATATGGAAATGTTTTCCATCAAATCTGGTCAACACTGTATATTCTCTTATATATTTTGTAATAAATCCATTTTAAAAAAAATTGAGATTAGACCATATGGGATCAATATTCGGTATAAAAAATTTTTCTTAAACAACGGCGAAAATTCGTCTCTTTGAACGAGAACAATTGTTATTTTTGCTCAGATTATATAAACCAATCTTGTTCTAACCCTTTGAAGCTTGCGGCGTTATCTAAATTTTATTTCTTCTAAAATATGAATCATAATGAAGAGAACACTTTTATTGGAGGCTCCTAAAATATTGAAAAAAATAATTATTTATTCGCTTATGTTTTTACTAAAAGTTTTATTTGCAGGGGCCTGTAATAAAATTTTTCCTGTTCCGCTCCTGTTTCAGCCAAAAGAATATTCGCTTTCCCTGTATCACTTGTTTCCGCTCCTATTATTTCCATAATTGGAAGTCATAATGTTCTGTTCTATGTTCCTGGCTATTTATCACTTATTTTTGAAGCATATGATTCTTGGGTACCCGATAGGTTCCAAAACTTTACAAAAGTGTCAGATTTTATAGGAAATGGAATTGGGAACATATGTTTAAAAAAAAATCGGAACACGTTTCAAAAATTTTAGAAATGTTCACGAACGATTCCAGAACGTTCCTAGTTCTCGGATAGTTTTTTTTTTAAAAAATATAATGCATATATGTTTATGGCAACATCCCCTAAATTTCTGCGCCTTTTGGAATGGGGCGGGGGACCAAATGAAACCACCTGATTATATATTTTTTCTCCTACACATATCGACGCTAAATGGATGGAGGTAGTATTTAGCACTTCTTAGTAAAAATTAACACTCTTGAATTTAAATTAATTTTTGAACACCCCCCCCCCCCCCTCACCTATAGTTAAATTTATTTTTTTTAAAAATGTAAATTAATTTAAAGTTTAATGGCGGCCTCCTACTTTGACTTAATTTATGTTCTCAATTCTGAATTATATCCAGAATTGCAGTTAACTTGGACACTTATTTTTGCGGTTTTTTTGTAAATGATATGATAGACTTAGATATAAGTTAAAATTTTTTAAAAAGGCTATTTGGAATAGGCATTCGATTCTTAAAAGAAAAAAGGTGCGTTATGAAAGCCAGCGTCGTCTTCGATTATATAAAAGGCTATGAGGTGGCGGATACCAAAAAAAAATTCTGACAATATTTCTAAGGATCTGGCCTAAATGTTTCTAAAAATTAATGATGTTTTTGCTTTCATAAAAAAAAAATTATTACGAGCCGGCATCTCTTGCTTTGGAGACTTTTCTTTTAAAAGTAAATGTCATTATAATTGTGGGAAAAGACTTTCTTTAGGCCTTTTCCAAAACCATTTTTTAAAAAATTCGAAAAGTTTCTAAACTTTCATAAATTTTAAAATTTTAATGAACTTGGGACATATTTAAAAAAATAATAGATTATTTATTTTATTAAAGTTTCGAAAGTTTATTAAGATTCAAAAATATTTTTTTTTGATGTTTTGGACATAGACTTTTTAGTTAGATAAGAAACTTACTAAAAAAAATGATTATTCATTTAAATTAAATTAGTTTTAATTTAAAAAAAAAATAATTAAAAGAATGGAATGGACACAATGGTTCGATGCGTCAAATAATATAATTTTCGGTGTCACGTTCATAGAAAGAAAAAATTATACATATTTTTTTTAACAATTGGCAAAAAAGGAGAAAGGGGAATCATTAAAAAAATAAAATATCTTTTTAAAAACTAAGAGAAAAAGAATGGCTATTTTTTTTAATAGCATTTTTAATAATTATTTTTGGTAGTTTTAATTTTCAGAAGTATCCATTACGAAAATAAAAATTCTTTTAAAAAAAATAAAAACACAAACTATACCTACCATCTGTTTTAATCGTCTGTAATTATCCAAATTTTTGCCTTTTTTAAAAAAAAAACATTTTGTCTTAAATTGAAACTTAAAGGATTAATTTTTTATATATATTATATTATTACTAAATAAAATAAACTTAAAAAAATGACTTTTCACATACATTTATTACAAAAAAAATATATTATGAATATGAAGCCATTCGAAAAATATATAATATGTATGTATAAAAATAGAAGGTTTATATTATCAGGCTTGAAGGGATAAAACAGAGAGCCATTACATTTTTTTTTGTTTATATCAATTGAATCATACATTCATTATCTTCTTAGATAGAAAGGCCTTTATTTCTCCGAAATTCGTTATCGTTTAAAAATTCAATGTACACAATATTATTATTTTTTTTCGCATATACGATATGATGTACATTTTATAGAAATCATACACTAACTAAGATATAATATTATTTAATACCTTCAATTGAAATTTTTTGATTTGTATGACGTAACTAAATGAATGGCTAATTAGTATATAAGGGCGTTAAAAAAAAAGGTAGCACTTAGTTTCCTGTTCGCGGAAGGATTTCACGTCTTAGAACGCGCAACTTGTCATAATCAAATTATAAGTCGGTTAAAATTATACGGTTGGGCAAATGACACCACCATACCCCCTAAGGATAGTACCCCGTATCCTCATAAGCCAACACTGCTTAGACTCCATAGGGAATACATATGGACATACATCTATTTCTGTCAAGTCTGGCCTTACCTTATTTGAATCTCCATTAATCGGCAACACGAGCAAAGCTCCTACTGTCTAGTCAAATGGACATATGTTCTCTCATGACAAATAATATATGTCAATAAAAATATATCAATTGATTATCTCAATTCTAATATACAAAGTACAAGAAGCTTACCATTTTTTAAAAAAAAATATCAATAAATGGTTTATTTTTAGTAAAAAAATTTTCATCTATTATTATTTTTTTCTTATGTTCATTCAAAGATATATAGAAGAGGGTTTATGAAATAAATGGATTCCTATGTATTCTTCTGTTTCAAAATCATATGATGGTAAAATAGTCAAACCATATTAAAAATTAAATACTTTAAGTAATGCTTTTTTTCAAACATATTTATTTGAGAGTTATTTACAAAAATGATTTTGAGATTTTTTTATACATTTTACCTATAAAAACCTTGAATAAAATTTACAAATAACAATTAGCATCAAAATATTTAACACCATCTATATGAAATCTAAAATAGCAATATTAATCATTAAAAAAACACATAGAATATCAATATATTAATATTTTAGACAATGGTAATTAAAAAATATATAATTTTTTTAAAATAATTATACATAACTAATTTAATTTAATGGTCTAAGAAATTTCATTGTTATAAATAATAAATATAATATTGCTCTTTTATGATTAATTTTTTATCTCCTGATAATACCTTTAATAATTTTTCACCCAAAGATGCCAATGAGAGATAGGAACGAAATTTAAAATTCCGCATCTGGCAAAGGATATTAAAATTCTGCTACTAGCAAAACAGGTGGGAAAAAAATAGTTCTAATCATCAGCTAACCATATATATCCCATATTTAAAAAGTTCACAATTAAATATTCAGGCCCGTAATATTTTAAATATATAACGGGATGAGTTTTACAAAATGATGGTAAAGATATCTGATTAAGTAATGTAAAAAAAAATTTTCAAGAAGAAGCGAACATTTGGCATGGAATTTGGGAAGAAAGAAAATTATCAGTTGCCAATCTTCTAATTTAAATGAAATAAATATTTCCAGGATTATTAAAAGATACCACAAGGGGGAAGTAATTTTTAAAATATTATATAAAAGATTTGATTTTTATCGAGTATCCTTTTGCCTTATCGGGTGTAATTTTGTTCTGGTTCTTTTTATCCAGGACATTTCTTTATCGAATTATAGCAAAATAATTTTGTTTCAGAAATTATATTAATTCAATAAAATTCGTGAAAGAATTGCAAATTAGAATTCAACATAAATTTTGTTATATTTTATTTTTTAAGGGTGATAATAATTATATTAATTTGGAAGTATTATCCAAAGTTTATTCTTAAATACAAATAATTATAATAATAATTATTGACCTTATATTTCCTATATAATTATCTCAAATGTGATATTTATCTATTTTACCATATTACATAAAAAAAATACATAATTTACCCTAAAATTTCCCGCGGGTAATTCTGTGAAAATTTTAAAATTGTTTTGTCTTACTCTTTGTTTTAAAAATGACATTTTAGTTAATATTTAATCATATTCAAATATTTTTTTCTATAGGGTGGGAAGGAGGTTATTAACCCAATTATATGATTGGTTTGACATACGATTAGTGAATTAATATCGTTTTAATATTATACTTTCCACCATATTAACTGGTTAAGGTTCAAATAAGTGGAAAGATATCATCATTAATCCGGAATTAAAGCGATAAAATTCGAGAGTAAGGATTTGCATGTTTTTTTTCCAGTTCTGACCTAAAGTGAAAAAAAATAATCCCTGCATTTTAGATATTTGTAAATAATTAAAGTGCGCACAAATTGAGCGTTTCAACGCAGTTTCAAAACGCAAATAAAAAAACGTAAACGTGGCAATGTTTAAATTGAATCGTTAATTTTTTTAAAAAAATACTGTCCAATTAAAACGAATGCATTTAAAATGTATTATTTGCGTTTTGAAACACTGCGTTGAAACCTTCAATTTGTGCGCACTGACATTTTTAAGAAAAATCGGTCCACATTTTTTTTCTTCTTCTCTAAAAATCATATTTGGAGAAGATTCCAATAAAATAAAATTTGGCTTTTAAATTTCACTTAAAATATATAATTGGTTATTGTAGGGTTATTTTAATGCTAAAACAAATTGATAAGAAAAGAAAGAAAGAGTAAATAAAAAAAAATATTAAAATAATATAATATGGGATGTATAAATATGAAAATTAAAAAAATTGGGTCACCTTTTAATTTTCCTTCCTCCTTCTCCTCCTCCATTTGTTTTATTTATTGGTAACCTTTCTTAACCAATCAATATATAAAACCAAAAAATAAATAAAAATAATTATATTTTTATTTTTTTTAGTTTGAAAGATATAAATTGGAACAAAATTGTTTATAATTATTTTTCCATAAAAAAAATAATAATCTCCTCTTTCTCCCGCAAAAAAAAATGAGAGAGGAAGGAAAAGAAAACCGCGGGAAAGTTAGCAGGAACTAGGAATAAAGGACATATTAAAATTTTATCGATTTTTTTTAAAAAAAACTTTTTGTATTTAAAAAATAAAATAAACAAATTATTATTTTATAAAGGGGTTAAAAAAAATTATAAATGGGGTGGAGAGGGAGGGAAAAAAAATCAATGATAGGGATAGAGAAGAACTAGGAAGCTACGAAATGAGATTTATTTTTGGCACAAATATTGTATATTTTATAGGCGAGAAAAATTTTGTTGACTGACAAGTGACAACCAATAAAATAAAATTGGGGTAATTTATAAAATTGATGATTAATTAATAACAAATATTTTAATTTTTTTCAGCCATAATATAAATTTTAATGAAACGTTTAAAATGTTAGGTGATAAAAAGTGTTGACAAAATAAAAATTAAATTTAAATTATGATAGGTTTATTTTGTTATCTAAAATCCTGAATCTGAATGTATCGAAAGAGTTTTGACAATTATTGGCAAAAAGTATCAATTTTTTTTTGTTGAATTATAACAAAATATCGTATCCTATTACCAAGGGGTTATAGAATGTAAAACGGGGACTATAGAAATGGCGTTACAAACCTCGACTCGTTTGGAGGATTTGGTTGTAAAAATTTAATTTTATTCGGCGATTTATTGACGCAAGAAATATCTTCCTGCCTGCCCAGGGGAAGGGAATTTGCTCGTGGGGCCATGGATAAAAGTATTTTAGGCTTTTGGAGGGGTGAGAGTTTAACGTGTGTTGCCTTAATATTCCTCTATATCAAGAAGACGCTGGCGTTCAAGTCCTCATTATTCTAGTTAATCCGAGTCGATTTTTACGAATAAATCTCTAAACAAATAGGTGGTTTGACTTGAATCGGCACTATGCCCATCCTACCCGACTAAAAATAAGGATTTATTGTTAAAGTAAGCAGAACAATTATAAAGAAACTTTTTTTCTTTTCTTGAGGAAGAATATTTATAAAAGCATTGGAAAGGGGGAAAAAAAATATTGTATTTTTTTTTGGAACCTTAAGTTCAAATCCAACTCAATCTGATTAAAAAAATAATTAGAGTTCGAGAGATCGTCTTTCTGAATTAAAAAGCCAGATCGAATTCAACCAGGAGTGGGGCTGAGCTCGAATCCCTTATCCCTTTTTAACGCAAACCCTTCAAAAAAATTTAAATGGTGTGCATTAAATTAATTCTGAATTAATTAAAACTAGTGCATTTTTTTCAAGGCTGTGAATCCCAATTAGATTTCAGGAATTTGAAACTCCATATAGTTGAAATCTTGCTAACAGAAAGTTAATCAAAACCGATTTTCTGAGAAGGGTTTAAACCCGCCCTTGGTCCATTCCCAGACCTGTGAACCACCTCTCTTCTTATATTTTTTTGTGAAAATCATACGAATATCTTCAAAGGACACTATACCACGAGGGAAGTAGGTTGTCCAGCATTCATAACTCTGATCAGTTAACTCACCAAAAAAATGAAAGTTCAAATTTATCCAAAAAGGTTTTATTCGTGAAATTGAATTAGAACAAGTGTTATTTATTATTTTCAGAAGCTATTCAAAATTGTTATTTAAAAGTCTAAGCGCGTGTCAAACGTGCTATTTTTTTGTCTAGGAAATTGAAACATTTTTTTTAAAATAATAGATGTTCTGGTAATACTAAAAATGATGAATTTCGCTAATTGCGAAGTTCGTAATTTTATACATTTAAAAAAATGTAATCTTGACCAAAATCCGACCAACTTAATATTTAAAGTTTAGGACATCTTTTAAATAAAAATTAACCAATTTTAGTGTTGCTAAACGGCTAAGCCAACTAGAGTCTAGAACGGTTCAATGAGTGAATTATTTTAAGAATATAAATATATTTTATTTTTATTATGTATATATAGCAGAGACCTGCTGAGGTACCATTTGTACGGCCTGGCCCGTTTTTTTAAAAAAAAATTATTTTAGGTCCGACTCGGATTTTCTTTTCAAAAATTATTTTCGGCCCGATCCGGATTTTTTTTTTTAATTTTCAGGCCCGGCCCAGATTTTTTAAAATATATTTTATTTATTTTTATAGATAATAATGGCGATTTTAAATATTTGATTTAATATAAGGCCCGGCCCGGATATTATTTTAAAAAAAATTTCAGGCCTGGCCCGGGTATATTTAAAAAAATTAAAATACGGCACGGCCCGGGTCTCTAATATATATATTATAAAAAAAAAATTCCATGGATATAGAATTTAAAATATTATATACTAGTTAGGCTTTTATGATAAAAACACGAAATAATTTATACCATCTAATATAAATAGAATATAGGCAATCGATTCTAGTCTAAATAAATCTACAGAAAAGATTTTTCCACTAAAAAAATCTGATGTTACTCAAAAATTACCCCCCCCCCCCCCCAAAAAAAAAATAAAAATAAAATAATATTTTTGTTAAAAAATATTCTGAATTTTGATCTAAAATCAAAATCTTCCGTTAAACAAATTTACCAAAAAAAAATCGCTCAAAGTACGAATAATCTAATTATAATTATTAAATTATAAAAAACCTTTTTTTAAAAAATTACTTTGTCACATATTATAGTATCTTGAATTCTGCATTAGCCCTGTTTTCGTAGTTCCGACCCTAAAATCAAAATGTTAAAAATAGGCGCTTAGTAATAGGTCCGAGCAAAAGTTGTATAGCAAAGCATTTCTCAATATTGCTAATTGAGCAGAAAATGATGATCCAAATTAGTCAAGACCATAATAATTATAAAACTATTTCTAAAAACCAAAAAAAAATCTTTTTGATACGATTTTTTAAATTTCGCTATATATATATTTAATTATTATATAAATGTAAAAAAAAATAATGTGATTTGGAAATGTATTTATAAAATTAAATCTTAATAACTTGGTCAATTTAATAGCGCATAATTTTTCAACGAAATAAAACAATCTTTTACATATTTTTCATATGCGTCTAGCGGTTTAAATAAATTATGTACACAAAATAAAATTTTGATAATACTAGGTTCTTTAGCGCATTTATCAGGGAGAATCTTGTAACAATATATCTTACAATAAATATTACAAATATAAATTGTGTACACGTGGATACTTAGAAACAATTTTTTTTAAAGGATGAAAATTTTTTGCGAGGTTTTTAAAGATTATTCTTTATCCTTTCCTTCCGGCGATGTCGATTTATGAGATGAATGAGGTGATAAGCGGGATTTGTTAGATTTTTCGGAACCGGAAGAAGAATAGCCTAACTCTTTATGCCTTTTTTCTCTCTCCCTATCAATATAATTTTTTTATATTCATATTTGTTTTTTTAAAAAAAACATGTATTTTATAAAAATTTATAATAATAATAATAAAGAGAGAATCGATTAAATTTTAAAATAGAAAAAATAACATAGCTCAAAAAAAAAAATAAAGTATTAATTTTGAAGTCAAGGGTAAAAACCCGAAGCAAAAAAAACCAATTTATTTTATTTTTTTTAAAGTGTTTTTTATTTCAAAAATATAGTTGTCCTTTAGAAAAAAATGATATTATGTGTCTAAAAAAAGTTGACATTAGCACTAAAAAATTATGACTATTTTTTTTCTTATCTAAAGTTCGATCATTTTTATAAAGCGATTAAAAAACTTATAAAAAGGTCGTTAGAAACCGAGTCATCAAAATATGACGAAAAATGATTTAAAAAAAACAGAACATTACTTTTTCCTTATTTTGATGGTCAAAACTTTCATTTCTTCTTCTCTTTCCTGTAATTATTATTTTTTTAAAAAAATTTCTAAGATAAAAATAAATTTTTCCAGAAAATTCTTTCCCACTAATATTACAAACTCTCTCTTAAATGTTTTAAGAAAATTTATTTGATTCCATCTCACAATCGAGAATTAAATAAAAAATAAGAGGGTTACCATTTTCTCCTGTTCAGCCTTTTCGTTTCTTTTGAACTCAGCTTTCCTGTCCGCCTTTTCTGAGAGTTTTTTTTTATGTTAAAGAAGAAAATGCATTTTCGGTCATATTAGATTTTTGAAATTTAAAAATCTTCCTCAGCAAAATAATATTAAAATTTAGAGATCCCGAATTCCCATTAATTACATATCCCATTTCATAAAAATATATAACATGTATATAATACCAAAACACATGATAAAATTTGGTCAGAACTCTTATCATTTAAACGAGCTCAAAAAAGAACGTTACGCACAAATAGAAAATATTATAAGGCGCGTATTAATCCCTTAACACGAGGCTATTGGTTAGAGTTAGATCTGAGGATTCCTTATTCCGATGTCTGTATATATATTAATTTGATACAACTAAAAATTATAACTATTACGTAGTTTATTCAATATGGATGCTGTTCGCTTCTTCATCATTTCCACGGCAGCTAGTTTCTTTGACTAAAAAAAAGAATCCGAGGAAAGAAAGGAAAATTAGAATATTTTATTAGAAATAATGATCGATAATAATTATTTTAAAAAATGTGTCTTTTGATCAAAAATGGCATCGGTATTGAGATTTTAAATTATTTCATTTAAAATATATATCGCAAAGCCTGGCCCGTCCAAAGGACCTGCCCGCAGATCCAGAAAAAATTAAAATAGAAAGGCTTTGCAAACCTTGTATATCGATAATACCAAATTTTGCCGATTATAACCAAAAAGAACATTTTTTTCACAATTCTATATTTCCTAATTTTGTGAATAAAAATAAAATAAAATAAAATGCACTAATGGCATGAATATGCGCTTTTTTATACAAAAATGTTCATGAATTATCAATAAAATTATTCATTGCCTTTTTTTAAAAATTATCAAATATTCATTTATGAATATTTACCTAACATCGATAAAAAAAAATTATAAGATATTGGCTATAAAAGTTAGAGTGGATATTGTAGCGAAAAAAAATGCTTATTTTACTGACTTTATCTATGGCACTACTTTTACCGAAATGATTTGAAGAACCGAATCTATTTTAATTTTTTAAAAAATATATAAATAGATATAGACATGATAATATTCATTAAAAAATATCATTAGGCCGTATAGGTCGCTTTAATTGCTTTATTGTATAGGCTATAAAGAAAAGGAAATGATGGAAGCTACGTAAGAGATAATAGCAACATCATCTCTTCCCCTGTTTCAACTCTACTATTTCTTTTTTCATCTTCCCTGTTTCAACTCTACTATTTCTTTTTCATCTTTCAATAACCAAAGGCCATTACAGTCCTTTTTAGGGTTACAACACCAGGAAGACGAAGGCGCTCGGGTGCCGGACTACGGCCCACATGTCCGAAGAGGAGAACCAATGCAGTTCCCAGACTTGCTAAAAAGGGTTAACAAATACCTAAGAAAATTGAGACGGCAATTGTTCCCTCATGTGACAAGCAGGAGTCCGCTCATTCCAACGACGACACTTCCATGCATTCCTTTTCGTCTGAGGTCCCAACAGTCAGTCAAGACCCTGAGTCATTACCTGGAATAGTATTCTTATCCGAAGACAGGGATTCAGGAGTGGATAATAGACATTCCCTCAACCAACTCCTGGTCTTCCTTAGGTGCCGATTGCCTGAGGGAGGAAGCTGCTTCTATCATTAATTCTTTGGGGTTCGCTCTTTAATGATCCATGATTCTGGTACGCCCCAGGTGGGCTCAACAGCTCTCCCATCCATTGACAATATTTTCACAGGTATAATCAACGTGGGAACCGCTAGTTTCACAGAGGCAGACTTCGCTAACTTCCCTTCATTGAATATCGCCACAATATCTGCAGGGCCGTTGAAGTCATCACGCGTGCGGTCGCCAGATGGGGATTCAGACAGTTTGACCATCTTCGCATCTGCGATAATGAAGGAAGATAGTTCCGGCATCCCCAAAACTATAGGCTCGCCGAAAAGTATACACCGGTTATTGACCAGCCCTTGGTGGCAGGTGTAATCTGCCTTTAGCCCCTATTGTTTGCAGACCATCATCTTGGACGTTTGCGCTAAAACAGTTAGGAAAGCGAGCTATAACGTAAACCTAGAGGATATCTTAATATATGGATATAGTGAATTCATGTAAAATGACCCATACGATCGCTTAGATGAACTCTCGAAGGTTGGAGTCCTATGATAGCCGAAGCTAAATTCGTGCTAGACCAAACCTTACGTATTATGTACTTAGGCATACCTAGTGACATAAAAAGCCAAAGCTCAGCAGATAACAACAGGGGCCTGTTTGGATAAATGTCTAGATGTCTTCCTTCAACATTTACCAACATTTGGATATCGGTCGGACGCTTGCCACAAGAATTCTGGGAGGGATGTTCTCACTTTATTACATCACTATGAATGACTCTATCTTAAGATAGGTGGGGAATATATATCTCGCGTTCCAACAGACGAGTATGATAATCAACGTTCTACTAGCCCTGATCTTGCTCAGATACCACACGATTAACGCAGTATACATGAATACTTCCGATAACCATATAGGGCTCTCCTTTTGGGGTTAGGACAATTTATCAATCTCCTACCAAGAAGCAGTATTATTATTTAACATTCCGTCGCACGCCAAAGATGTATTGACTGCTGGCGTAGGTGCACTATTAGTAAGATGGTGTATCTCCTACCATCTTTACCGACTCTACTGTCACTTATTGCGTCTTCAGAAAAGGTGGATCTAGGTCTCCATCTATCGATATAGTCCTTACCCAGATCCTCTTAAGGCCTCCAGCACTTCACGGCAGTATCCCAGAACATCATGTGGATACCCTGCGAATGATCCAGGACACGATTTGACGACAGAGAAACCCAATTCTCAGGATTCGACTCTTGCTCTCAACCCAACGTTCGATGAAGTCAACTAGGAGCTTTCCCTCTTCGGATCTGAAACAATCAATACTCCACTAATCCATTCACAACCACATGGACCCTTAACGAACTACTATACATTCAAACGATCTTTAACCGAAAAACTTTGAAAACAACCACAAGATGGACAGAACAAATTTATCCTTGTAATTTATATAGACGTTATTTTCTTTTTATTATATTTGTCTATATTATGCACAATTTTATATATTTTACTTTACTTTGGCGTTACCTTTATACCAAAATTTTTCGGTTTGTAGTAGTATTATACTAATTGATTTTATTAATAGAGACGAGCTGCAAAAGCCATAAAGGCCAATGCACTAGGCTGAATTCTACTCTCACTTTCTCATAAGGTGGGGTGTAAGTAGAATTCAACCGCACGGCTAAATAGTCGGCTATTAAGTATTAAGCCGACATAGTACACGGCCTTATACTATTTATATTAATAACCTTAAACTGGTCAAATAAGATTCGATCAATTGACTAACCAGCCAGATTAACCGATATCTTAAAAAATGAACATATTTTTTGAAAATTTAATGCGTCTCAAAGGTATATATATATAAAATTTTAAACAGTATTTTGCATTCGAATAAAATATTTTGGGAAAGAGAACCTGCCCAACCTTTACATGTATAATTAGTAAATAAAAAAAAAGATATAACCTTCCTTTAGAAATGTCCGACGAATAACTACTACTGCTGCAAGAAGATGAATCGCTTTGTTCGTCGTCCGATTCGTCGCGTTTTACGGATGCTTTCGCGGAATCAGAGGAGGAGGAATAAGACGAGGACAAACTATCTCGTCTATGTTTTCTTTTGCAAACTTTTTAATAAGACAAAAAAAAATTTTATGTTTACAAAAAAAACAATCTGCCACAAAACAAAAACACGTCAATTAAAGAGAGAAATTAGACATAATTCTCTTTTTCTTCCTTTCTCAAAAAAATAGGGGTGAATAGAATAGATAAAATAATATCAAAATCACGAAAAGGAAGGAAATATTGTTAAAAACATTGTTTATTCTTTTGAGAGGTGGACACTGTCGTGATGACGTTTCACGATGATGACGTTTCACGATGATGACGTGTGACGTTGAAGAAATGTTGTTGTCAATAATTATATTTTATATATATATATATAGATACATTGTATATGCATATGGGAATATTATTCATACAATAAAAGATAATCTTTATCATCTTTACGATCAATTACAAGATAATTAGTACATTGAGACAAGATGTAGAATGGTTGTGAATTAGATGTGAATGATGAAGAATGGTAATGGGCAAATGGTTAACAATGGGAATGGGCACTGTGAATGAGACAAGATGGAGAATGGTTTGGAAAACAATGGTGAATTAGATGGGAATGATGAAGAATGGGAATGGGAAAATGATTTGATTGGCACTGTGAATGAGACAAGATGTAGAATGGTTGTGAATTAGATGTGAATAATGAAGAATGGGAATGGGCAAATGGTTAACAATGGTAAGAATGGGAATGGGCAAATGGTTAACAATGGTAATTGTCAAATGGTGATTTGGTTAACAATGGTAATTGTCAAATGGTGATTTGGTTAACAATGGTAATTGTCAAATGATGATTTGGGGATGATGATGAATGATGGGCACTGTGAATGAGACAAGATGTAGAATGGTTGTGAATTAGATGTGAATGATGAAGAATGGGAATGGGCAAATGGTTAACAATGGTAAGAATGGGAATGGGCAAATGTTTAACAATGGTAATTGTCAAATGGTGATTTGGGGATGATGATGGTTTGGAATGAAAAATGGTTGGTAAAGGGGGGAAGTGTCGTGATGACGTTTCACGATGATGACGTGTGACGTTGAAGAAATGTTGTTGTCAATAATTATATTTTATATATATATATAGAGATACATTGTATATGCATATGGGAATATTATTTATACAATAAAAGATAATCTTTATCATCTTTACGATCAATTACAAGATAATTAGTACAGACACCTCTATAGAGCGAAAAATGATTGGCAAGCTAAGCATGGCGTGCCAAGATAATGATATAACCTTCTAGATTAGGAACCGGACGCTCAGAAAATTCAAATTTGGTAACGTTGTTCGGTGATACCGAAATAGTTTCCGACTTGAGCATCGGGTAGACATTATCGCCAACCGCGACTTTTTGCTTGGTTGACGATGCAGCTGTTTTATGATTTCCCGCGTCTTTAGTCGAGAGTTTTATGTCGTTTTTCGAATGGTTAGACCGAGATCCGTGAGTGCGAAAGTTTTTGTGCGATAAATCTCTTCTATTTTTTAAAAAAATTCAAATAAAAAAAGTAAATAAATAAAAAATCAATCGTTTAATATTGAGATGATAAAAAAAAATGTCGCGAGAATGCAGAAAGCTCAAGATTCATCCATTTTACATAAATTAACAGCTGGCAGTGCCCAATGATTCTAAAAAAAAATCTTTCTTTCTTTCGAAGAAAGATATTCTTTTCTTTATCATGGTTTATTATTATTACCATCATTTTACAATTGTTCTTGTTAATATATGACGGATTCTGATAATGAGACTAGACGAAATTTGAAGAAAAAAAAATATAGAAAACTCAAACGAGATAACGATAAAGTTTCCTTAAAAGTGGTTAAATGTTTGAAAATAATTTAAAAATGAATATTTTAGAGACTTGTATTTAAAAAAAAATATAATAAACCCGCATGAAACGTAAAAATACCCAGGGCTAGACCTAATGATGACCATAGAAATATAAGTCACAACTGATTACCTCGTGTCACGTTTACGCCTTTTGATATCTTTGAGATCGTCCGAAGATGAATAGGAGGTATAAGAACTCCCACTTTTATCGACTTCGTGTCCTCTAGATTTATATCCTTTTCGCTTCACGTCATCCATCAAATATGCTGCTTTCCTTTCTCTCTTATCCCTATCTCTATATCTCCTTTCTTTACTCCTGGATCTCGACATTTTTCTTCTCCTTTCCCGTGAACGGTGCTTCTTATGATCACTCCTGGAACCTCTCTTTCTATCACTTTCGAGATATTTTTTGGACGAATGTCTTTAAAAACGTTTTCCGAATTAAGAAAGTTTATATTATTTTTATTTAAACTCAAATATGTATTTTAAAAAAATCCAATAGAAACCGGTGCTTTTAAAACCCTTGAGAAAATTTTTCGATTCGTGGGACTAGTGTTGTTAAATGGCTCGATTTGAGCCGATTTTTAAAAACGGCTAACTCATTATTGTAGTCAGAAAAATATTGTCTAAGCCACGCCATTTTGCTAATAGATACCCAAACTGTTGGGCCATTTTTGAGCAAAATCTTCAGCCTTAATTAATATTATTCTGGAGAAAATATTGAGTTATTCGGTTTTAAAAATGGGCCCAAATCGTGCCGTTTAACAACATTATGTGAGACCGACGGACAAATTAAACCGCAAAACCTCAGTCATTTATTTATTTTTTCGTCGCGATATTTTCTAAAATACATTTTAAAAAGGTGAGCTCTCTTAAATAGAGTTGGCTAAACTGTTATAATAAAGTATATAATTGAGATTGGTTAATAAAGTTTGTAAGATACTTTCATACTCCTGACATAGCTTCCCCCCCCCCTTAGTATTTTACTACTCACAAGAAGCATGGCTGTGCTACTTGGTGAACCCTTTACCCACACTTATATCGTCATTAATTCAAATCTTATATTGCCTGATAATTTTAGCAGAGAGCATCTATTAAAATAAGAGTAAATTAGTTACCTTTATTTAAAAGTTAAAAATAAATATTTCAACTATCTAAATAAGATAATTATTTCAGATCTCGATTCATTAATAACAATTTTATAAGAGTCATAGTTTAGTAAAAAAAAATTAATAAATAATAATCATTTTTTTTAAATATCATTAATAAACAAATTAAAAATGATTTCCAGCCCAAAATTAGAATTTATATCTAATTATAGCCAATTTTTTTTAAAAAAAGTTTGAGATGATCAAAATTGATTAAAAAATCATTATTTGGAAGAAAAAAAGGACTCATCAAAAGTAAATTAAATTTTGCATAACGTGGTGTTTAGTTAAAATTATTTAGGCCACTGAAAAATTCGAGACCATTGTGTTTATTGGAATTTCAAGTGAACACCATTTAAAAACTCCAGTTGTATTAAGTGAAGCTTTATATATATAATATCTGAAACCTTCACTTCCTATATCTTTAAAATGCGCAATTAGATTTGATAAATTGTACATAATAATTATGATATATTTAATCAAAAATATTATAAAATAACATTTTAAAGTGTTGGTCAAAATATACTTTCGGTCAATTGATCCTATCTGACAGGCTTGCCAACCATGGTATGGACCCCACGAATATCCTCAAGGGTTAAAAAATACATATGTTAACGACATTCTGTTCCAAACCAGAAATGTTTATAAACAAGAAGGGGGGAAAAATTAATATTGAAAAGAAAAATAATTATTGGGGAAATTCGAGATTGAATCCTTTGTACAATTTAAATAATATTTTAAGGGGTTTAATACAAATTAAGGATAAGGGTCAATAATGAATTCATTTTCCTGGCTTAGAGTTACAGGTTGTATAAGTAGAATATTTCAGATAAAAATAATGATAACGGGCATGTAAAGAGGTAAATTTAAATTAACCTTTCTTTAGAGGAACGAAGTGAATTCTCTTCTATTATGTTTCTCCCGAATCCTCTTGCGTGGATTCTCTCTTTTTTTTCTTCTGAATAAAAATTTAAAATAAATGTAATTGAATCCTGCAAAGTAATCTACGGCCCAATCCCGACCTATATTTAAAATTTATTTTGTCAAAACCCGACCCAGGGGCACATTTAAAACCGACTCGAGCTCCGATTAAAATAATTTTTTTAAATATAATTTGAGTTTAAATATTTCAATATCTAAGAAACTATTAAAGATTATTTATATTTATTCACATATTGCTACCACCTTAAATAAAAGAATATTTAACCCCCATAATCTAATCATTATAAAGTTGAATTTATTTAATTTGTACATAAACGATTTTATAAATATAAAAATTTGAGGCTATTTAATTTAATAGATCTTAGATAAGTTTATTTTAGTTTAATCTGATAGAGTATGATGTAAAGTAAGTAAGTAATAAAGTTATAACTAGTCACTAAAATATAATCACAGGAAATAGTTAATTTGGTAAATGCGAATATTATGTAAAATAATAATTGAAATGTGTTAGATGAAAAATGACATTTTATTCTGATTGACATTTTTATGAAACAAAATGATTGTTAAGGATATTTGTATCTTAATAATTATTTGTCAGGCTTCGGTCGGGCATCTCTTACAGCCTGACCCAAGCCCAATAAAAAAGGAATATCCGAAACAAGGCTCGGGCATCTATTGCAGGCCCCCATATACATATAATGTCGTATTGAGATTCTAGAGAGTACTCACATTGTGAGTCTCAAACAGTTATGTATCATTAATATTGTTTTTATAGGGAATTTTCGTATAAATTAAGAAATACACAAATTTTTAAGGCTAAAATTGTTTAAAATTAATAACGTAGTTACTCTCTACAAATTCTTAAATACATTTCTCAACGCAAAAAAAGAATATATTCGTGATTTAACCTCTATGACGCCCCTCTTTGTCGGGTAAACACGTAGCAGCGGCCATATTTAAGGAGTCGTATTCATCCGCCGCACCAAAACTGGTGATATAAGTTATCCGGTCAGCAATTTCTTCCGCTCCAACAATGGGACTTTTCGATTTTGATTTATCGCTTGAGTAGGGTAAGAAATTCAACAAAAATTTGAAATGAATAACATTTAAACAAAGTTTTAAATAAAAAAAAAATTTCAGAAAATTTTTGAACGCCAAAAAAATCCCGTAGAGATAAAAATTTGATTTATAATTATTATAAATATTTTTTTAAAAAAAATACTTTTCGTGGTTAGGGCTGTGTCGCGATGATTCGTAACTAAAATAATATATAATATAATTTTAAATTTAAAAAAAAAACGATGGTACCATTTTAAGGAAAAAACCATATATAGTGTTGTTAAAAAGCCCGATTAGAGTCGATTTTAAAAAAACGGCCAGATTAAGATTATAACCAAATAACATTATGCGAGCTCAAAGATTTTGTTTTGCTCATAACTGGCTGAAATGCCTGGACATATATTTGCCAAATCTCGATGCTTACATGATATTATTTTAGCTAAAATCTTAATTGGGTTGTTTTGAAAAATCGACAAAACTATTCCTATGTCCAAAACATAAAAAAATTTTTTTTTACATAATCTCAAAATTTTAATGAAAATAAATACATAAATGTCCACAAAACATAATTTTAGAAAATTTTAAAAAGTTAGCATAACGATTTCATTAAAATTTAAAAAAGATTTGAAACTTTCCGATTTTAATTTTAACTAGCAAGATGCAAAACTCTTCCAACTTTTTTTAAAATAAAAATTAAAAAGGGATGGAACGTACAGACCACCATTTTCAAAAATAAATAGATTATTTTTTACATAGGGGGCGAAGCTCTTCGTGTTTTCCATTTTTCTTTAAGCAACCTTCTTTCCTTTCGGCCTTTTTTGCCCTTATTTAAATAATTTTTTTTTTTAAAAAAAAAAGATAATAATTAACAATGTTTTTGCATGATAACAAAGAAGGAAAAAAAATATATAGCATTAAAACTTACTGAGAACAGAGCCTTTTCTTCTTCCATCTCCCTACTCAGCCGCGATACAGCTTTGTCTTCTTTCTCTTGCTGCACCATTCTAGAGAAATAGGGAGAGAGAGAAAGAAATGGTTATAAAAATAATCAATTTTTAAAGAATTCAAACATATTTGTCAATTATATTATTTAACTTCTTTTTTTTAAAAATACATTACAAAATTATTTTTAAATATTTTATGGGTTTCCGCGATTTCGATCTGGCGGTTGTTGTTATATGACGCAGAAAAAAATATGTCGATGTATAATCATCCCATGGTTAGACCCAATTGCCATGAAATAAGAGATATTCCATCAGAATCCCCCCTATAGGTTATAAGCCTTAGATTATATATGCATCGATATATTCACGGTATTTAGCAACCGTTCAATTGAAATAAAAAAAACCAGCAAATTTTTTTTCTCTTTAAAATCCACATATTTATCCTCGGTAATTAGCTACCTCTCTGAGAATTTATGGGAAATTTTTTTTAACTGGAAAAAAAAATTTTTTTGCAAAACGGAGGCTTAGACAAACGGAATTTATGTATGCAGATAAAATAACCATTTTAATTTCAAGGGGTGTATCCCATTGGATAATTTTTACGTAAACATATATATTTTTTTAATACATCTAATGCTTCGACATTTTTTTTTTGAAAAATCATATTTAAAAGCATTAAAGAGAGGGAATTATTGTATCCGATACAAATAGAATCGTTAAAATATCTAGTTACATTTTTGGCAGAAAAAAATAATTGAAGAGATACAACTAATAACTGTAACTTAAATTTCCTTTCAAAAGTAACATTTAACAACACTAGAATAGAAATGATAGGCGCAATTTTGTTCAAATTATAAATTAAAAAGATATACAGCATTTAGATCAAAAATTTATTGCTGTGTTACAAAGTTACGAACCTTATACAATTTTTTTTTATTATTATTTAACTAAATTAAATCTACTCTATACGGTTAGTCGACTTGATTTGATCCGATTATAAAAAAATGGCTAACTCAATATTTTAACCAGAAAAATATTGTCTAAGCCTCAAAATTTCGCTAACAAACCAATCTATGAACAAAATATAATCGGGCTCGCGTAAAATCTTTCTGTATAAAATAATGAGTTAATCCCTTTTTAAAAAATCGGCTCAAATCCGAGCCGTTTAACAACATTAAATAACATACTTAGAATTTTTAAATTTAATACAGCATATTCGAAAAATAGGACATCTTAAGGTGGTAATAATAATATCTATAAATGTACCGTACTGTATAAAATCTATAGGAACTATCCCATAGTTAGTTGAAATGGCGCCAAGTTTTTGCACTTCGACAATAGATATTTTTTCCAAATCAAATTTTGACTCTTAGATAGAATAAATAAATAATAATTACCACAATACAAATTTATAAATAATTTATTGTATATAAAAAAAATTTTTTCATAAAATATTCATTCTTGAAACTTCCTTTATCCATTAATTTCAGATTTTTTTTGAACTCTTAGAGATTTAAAAAAACAAAGTGCGATACGGCCCGAAGTCATCAATTTTTTTTAATATCTTTCTTTCTTTAAAGCTTTGAGTCAGAGAGAAAATTGGACTGAACTTAGGCTTCATTTGAAATTTCAGGGGCTCCATATGAAAACTTTAAAAATAAACCTATTCCATTGGTGTATATCTCATCTTCAATCTTCCTCAAGTCCTCCGGATCGTCGTCGGAAGAGGAGGCGGTATCGCGAGACGATTTAAGGCGCGGGTGAGCCGTTTTATAAGAAACATTTTTGTTTACGTTATTGTAAGGAACCTTGATCATATTTCCGTTGGCGTTTTCGTCGTCCGAATACACATAGCCGATAGCAGCGGTTTTCTGTTTTTTCTTTTTTTTCTCATCTAAAACTCTGGCAGGAAAAAAAAATCATATGGATCAAAAATAAAATTTTTTTTATAAAATTTACATGCATATATGTATATAATATATTAAATCTATCAATATATCATTTAGCAAAGCCAGACCCTTACCATCCGGTAAAGATTTTTTTAAAAAGAGTTTTGGCCTGGTCCGAAAAAATATTTGCCCTTAAAGGGCAAACTTGCTTCAGGAACTCTGCCTTGTGTTACTCTCCATTCATAGTTAGCAAGAATTTGCACAAAGCATATTCTGTATACTTCGCCGCAAATTCATGCCAACTGTGAATGCGGGATTACCCTGAATCAGTTAGCGAGAATTTGTGGAGAATACAAAAAGTATTTCAAATAATTAGCCACGAATTCGCGTTAAGCATTAATGAGAGGTAGTCCGTTATTAACCTTTGGCTGGCCAGTAAAAAAACCTGGCAGTTAATTATAAAATTAGCTTTGTCCTGTGAATTTTTCCCATTCCATTTTAAATCAAAATAATTTATCTAAGACAAAGTTAGCCATTTATAACGGCAAAAGTTTACCAATCTAGAGTACCACAAGCTTGTGCTGGGTTTGGGGCAAGTCGGGCTCAAGAAATTCTTTATGATGAGGACAAAGGTGATCCTCGATTTTTGTTATTTAAAATCTTGAGACGAACTAGAGCCAGGATTTAAATTTTTATTTAGGCCCGGGCCAAGCTTAGAATTTGAAAAAATTGAATTTGCTGAATTTTAGGCCCAGCCCATTATATATATTTTTTAAAAGATCATCCCCTCACCTAAGGACTTTTGGGTCAAGAGGATCTTCTATCATTACATTCATTCTTCCATATAGTAAATAAACTTCGATTCAATTTATGATAATGAAAATTACAAATAAATCAATCCCAAACTGGTGCAAATTTTCATAATTATATAAATGAATTAAAAAAGAAATGGATTTCTTTTTTTTGTAATTGCAAAGTGAGGTGGGTTGCTAAGTTGTCAAGCCAGAAATAAATAATATTTTCTTTGATCAATTTGCCATGCCATATTATGGATAAACAACAATAATGATCAATTTATCTTGCATTTTCTATATATAGTAACTCCTATTCTTAAATTTTATCAAAATAGTTTCTTTCTTTCTTCAATTTAAAAAAAAAAATAGAAACTGTGTAGGTTTCTAGATATGGTCTATTGATTATATAAACAATTTTAGGCAAAGAGATATTAAATAAGCCTCAAGATTTTCACAAAATATGATAGAAAGTTTTGGCCCTCGTATGGCAAAATCTTGAAGTGTAGGCAATATTTATTTAGCTAAAATCTTGATTTTTTTAACAAATTAGGCATACTACATGTGACTTGTTCATGCTGCAATTATATAATTGGAAAACTATTAAAACTTACACCATGCTAGAATTATGCAGAGAAAATGTATTGGTTGGTTTTTTTAATTGGCAAGCATAGAAATGGTTTCAAATTCACAAAAAATCTGTTGGAGAATAGGAATAAAAACTTTCAAACATCTTAAGCAGCATGCTGATGATTTAACCTTTAGATTTAAAACTCTGCAATATTCTCAGCTAATAAAATTATATAACAAAAAAAGATACCATCTATAAACCATAAACTTAAACACTTCTTTATTTCATCTTCTGATACTTATGGATATTTGTACTTTATGAATAATTGATATACATCATTCTGAGCTTTAATATCTTGATAAACTTTTAAAGAAAAAAATATATACTGAAAATCAAATTAAGGAAGGAAACTACTATAGTTCTATCAAAACAAAATATTTAAACATCAATAAGACCTGCTTGAATTGCCATTGATTTGTTAAAATATAAACAAAGATGGACCAGGACCACAAGTGAAATTAAATACACCTAGATCATTTGCATATAAATTTTTATGAAAACTAGAATCCTAAAAAAAATCAATCTAAATCCTTATTATATTTGAGCAAATAAAATTTAAATAATTAGACAACCTTTTTTTTCCTTCTTCTAAGATTTTAAGCTCAGTAAAATCTTCCTCGTTTTTTATTTGTTGCAAATGTTGAGACTGAGTTACTATTATTATGTTTTATATTAAATATAATATCAAATAAATACTTCCTAATGAATTTAAATGCACCAAAACTCTATATCTTTCATAATTGCTTTTTCTTTCTTCTACCATTTCAATTTGTGTATGGAGGCTAAATTTAATTATTAATATTTAATAAATTGTAATGATACTTTTTTATATCTATAGAAATGTTTTCATTAATTTCATCTAAATGGGATCTAACATCAAATCTATCAATCATATTTGAAGTATCTCCTAACCAAGGCATCCTATGTATACATTTAAAAAAAAATTATTATTTTTTATTATACATGTTAGAAGGATTTTCAGCAGCTTGTGCAATTGAATAATCAATGTTTATCTTTCCACGTCTGCCATGGACTTGTAAAAATTGTACCGGATCCGCTTTCTTTTTATAAAAAATATATGTTAACTTGATGTTTTATAAAGAATATTTTAATGGAAATCAAGAATGAACATGTAGACTATAATAAAACGGCAGGTCTCTTTGAATATATCACAATATAATATAAAAATAATATACAATTTTGTCATAAAAGCCCCTCCTCCTTTCAGCCCTTTTTCTAACATCAACCATGATCCCTTTAATTTTTTTTTCTTGCTTCCTTGCTTCCTCCCACATTTCAGATTCTGAGCATTTTTTTTACATATGGTAATTTTATTTATTTATAAAAAATAATGCACAAGGAAAACTTTAAATCATATCAAATAACTATATTTTATATATAAATCAAATAATATATAATTTAAGATAATTGGTAAATTGCTTTTTATGGTATTTGTGCTGCCTTCCATTCAGAAATTATTTTGGGTTGATGGACTATAAATTTAATATATTTTTAATAGTTAGAGTAATATTTCTATCTAATATAAAACAAATATTTATTCTCCGCTCTTTTATATTAATCAAATTATTTATTATTTAAGTTCCGTAATTATTGACAAATCTTTTACTTTATATCCTTATTTTTTATTTTAGCCCTCTCTTCCACTTTTATCTCCAAATCTTAATCTCACAATTTTCTTTTTACTTTATAGAGCTTTTCTTATGCGACCAAACACGCTCAGTCTATTAATCATAAAATTAACTGGAGAACAAAGTTTGTGAATGTTGTCATTATTGTATTCTCTTTCTATTATTTACCTATAAGAGCATAATTATTTTGGTAACCCTCATAATATCTACTTTTCTGGCATCTCAGCGTTAGATCTTATAAAATCGCTTGTAGAACTTTGGAGGCTCTGGTTTAAAATAAATTTGATAGCCCTTTAAAAAAACCCCACTAAATCCTCAGCAAATTAATTTTGATCTTAAAGTTTAGACAATTTCTATAAAATTGTTAGATTTTGGAAACAAGTAATATATAATAATGTTTTTTTTTCAATTTAAAGTTCTTTATTTATTATTATCTAAAGCGTTAATATAACAAGCCCATTTAAATGATTACTGTCTAAGGCAATAATGTATATCGTGATATTATGTAAATTGGGCATTAAAGTTATATTAAATGATGTTTAATTTTGATATATATATTAATTCAGAAAAAGAAGTTCTTTCACCAAAAATTTTATATTATCGACGATACTTATTTTGATTAAAAAAGATATTCAAACAAAAATCTTTGTCTTAAAATTAATTGTTAAATTATATAAAAGATTTCTGCTTAGATAAAGAGTTAACAATAAAATATACATTCTCTATTAATACTATCGCTTTCCAAGTTCTTATATTATCACTACCATGGACTATTAGCTGTTTTATTAAAAATAATATTTAGCACATACATACCTTTACACTTTTCCATACAATCTCCAATCTGCAAAATCTAATGTGAAATACTATATTTCATCTTCGGTCAAGTTCTAAATCTTCTCTCGAGCTATACAAAATCAGCCTTAAACCATACACCACATAAAAAAAAACTTTTTTTAACTGTTCAATTTGATTAAAAAAATTAGCTCAATAAATTAATTTAAAGTTATTAACCTAATTATAAACTGTCCATTCAGATTATTTTATTCTACTAACCTTTGAATAATATACCAACATTTTTTAAATCAAATTATAAAAAATAATTACATGTAATATCATACATATAAATTATGTGGTATTTATATTGGGAATAATAATATTTAATTTACATGTGAAAATTAATTTAGGAAATATATTTTTTTTAATTTTCGGTTATAAATTTATTTTTTCTGCTATATGTAGTTGTGATAATTAAAGCTCCTTTAATTCTTAATATTATTAAATTCAATTATCATTTTTTATAAAATAGTATATTTTTGTAATAGGCCAATCATAATTGTTAATCTAAGAGTATTAGCAAACAGATATGATAGCATAGAGTTATATTGTTCATGAGCATAAACTGATCTGGATAAATTATATTATATGCCAACTCTTTTTAATGTTTATCCTTGAGCGCAATGGTTGGTATAAGTGTGAATTGTGTGCATTTAAATGAGAACGGTAACTTAGAATCAATTGGTATGCCTCTTCTGGAGAAAACTTTATTACGTAGCATCAATTACATTAGCTTTCAATATGGTAATAATTAGCTTGGCAAGAACTATCATTTTAAGCCAATTATATCAGATCTCCTATCTTCATAAACCTCCCTATTTGCATCAACCCCCGGTCTTCTTGCCCCTGCCTCCCTACCAAAGCAAAAAAATGAAATTCAATTTTAATTAGCGCCTAGCCTTTTCAATTTGATGTCGATCTTGTATCTCCCATTTCCATGAGTAAAAGTTCCTGTAATCTGGAACCAATTCTGAATCCATTTGTAAATTGGGTAATCAACTTTGAATGATAATTTATGATGAGATGGGCCATTAAATATTTAATAAGATAACATGCGTAAACTTTTGACATTTTTGTCGTGAGGATAAAGGATTTAATATGAGACTGTTTTCTTATTCTCTTTATTATTATTTATTCTTCTTCTTTTTTTCAGCTAAAAATATTACTTTTTTTAGGAGAGGGGGGTGGGGGAATTAAGATTTTAGGGATAAACATAACAATTTTAGAAATAATCTTTCGTTTTCAAAAAGTAAGATAAAAAATAGGAATAAAATTCTAATGCTATATTTTTCCATAATTTTACGGTCTATCTCTGGCCCACTACTTTAATATTGTGTTTGAAACACTTTTATGTATTTGTATTAGTGCAGAATTGCTTTAAATAATCTACAGATGAAATGGCAAAATAGCTTACTCAATCTAAAGGCATCGTTTTAAATTTTTTTAAAATGATTTTTTCGCTTCTAATATGCGTATATTTGTCAAATATCGCATTTAAATTTGAAGTATAAGTCATTTATGAAACTCTCGAAAATCATTACTATTTTTAATCATTACGTCGGGAAGGTCAAAATGATATTTATTAAATGAAACCATACCTACATTAAGATGAAATTAATAATTTTAGTTATTATTTTTTTGATTAAATTGAAATTTCACAGCGATGAAAAGGATAGAAGATTAAAATTATAATATAAAACCGGATTAAAGTGTAAATGACAATTATCTCTAAACGCGAATTTAATTTTAAAATACACTAAAAAAAATAAAACTCAACTAATATAAAATCGCTAATATATTATACTAAGATGATGATAATGATAATAATAATAAAAAAAAAATCGAATTCGTTAATATTTAAAATGACTCAGAATCGCATCATTCTACTTGTCATTTAAGTTAAATTAACAATGAATCATTCACTAAATAACAGCAAAATCTCTAAATATATTTCATTTCTTTATCTCGTATGGAAGTTATCAATCCCTACCCTTCAAATTCTTCCTTAATAACCTTACCCAGTGAAATGTCGGTGCCCCCTCAAGAAATTGGTGGTGATATTTTAATTCAAGGTTATCCGTCAGATTCTCAAACTGGACCAACTTTCGTAAACTATCCAAGCGATAATTCTTCCATTCCCGATTCTACGTTGAACTATCCAGAAATTTCACACGTTGAAAAGTTCACTCATCAAAACTTTGCATCGGCGCCAGATTTATCCGAACCCATTCCCTTGCAAACTGATAGCTCTAATACCTTGATTAAGAAGGATAACGAAAAAAAAGTGAATATCATAGATCAAGATCCCATCAAAGGGAAGGAGAAGACACTAAAGGAAAGATTCTCCAGTATCTTATCCTTATCGAATTCTAAGTCCAAACTGACAGAGGGGACCAGTGAAACGACTTCTAGTTCTAACACAGAAGTCTCTCCACCACCTAACTCATTGTATTCTAATAAGAGTCAAACAGATGCCACTGACCATAAAGCAGTTGGGGTTCCGGGTAAATCTTATTCAGTTAGGTTTCCGGATGCCAAAACTTTCAATTATTTTACAAATTTTTTTCAATTTTGGACGCAGATGTTTCCAAAAGCAAGTCGTAGTAAGCTGGAGAACTATCGACTCAACAAGGTAACAAAGTTTTTTTTAACTTACCTGTACTCTTTATATTTTTTTTATTTGCCCTTTTACAAGCTAGTGATTGCCATTAGCCATTTTCGAACTTAACTAATATTTTTATTTAGTTAATGTCTCATTAAGGTACATTTGTTACTTTTTTTAAAACTCAAAGCTTTTAGGATGTGTTCTATAAATATCCCATAATTTTAACATGTTTGCATTATTACTAAATTAACGACCTGCACAAACGCATAGACATGAGTAATATGATAGTTTTAGAAACAGGCTTATTAGGCTCTTCCTCTTATTGCTCACCCCTCAAATTTTACTGGACATAGCAATTAGGTTAAAATATCACGAAAGCAAAAGTAAAATTATCGTAGGACGGTGCCAACTCTGTTACAAATTACATATATTTAATTTAAAGGTAGTATTTTTTATAATAGTATATTTCACATAATGCAGTTCGCATAAAAAAAGAATTTTATATTTGTGTGAAATTTTTCAAAATGAAATATTAAAACAAATTTAAAATTTTTCGCTGATAATGTTTATGTTGAAAGTTGAGAGAACGCCAGGCAAATATTCATATAATTTTTACCCAATATTATATTTCACCTTAAAGAGAGCCTCACGGTAAATGTAAGAATATGACAAAACTTTGCATTCATTCTTTCATATTTATCTAATATTAATATAAGATAATGTATAGTAGCTCTTGGCCCTCCCTCCCATCAGCTCCCACCAAAGACCTTCATCTGATTTTTTGATCTGACTCTGCCCAAAGGGGAGTAAAAAAAAATGATAAGTCCAGGCTTGACCAGTGTTTAATTTTATCCTGCCCCCTTCAATAGTTTCAAATATTTTGTCTAAGTCCAATCCAAGCCCATCAGATAATAAGAATGAACAATATTTCAGTTTATTTAGGCAATCATTTTATTTACTATGCTGAAATTTATTATTAGAAGAAGAAGAGAATTGCATTTTCTAAGTTAGTTTAGGACAAAAAATAAGATGAGGAGCTCAATAGTAGATAAAGGTTACTGATAAATAATATTAAAGAAATAATTACGAATTGTTATAGTTGTCCTATTAAATATCCTAAAAAAAAGCAAAATCTAATTGAAAAAATAATTTCGGCCCAAACCCCAGTCCAAAACCATTTAATTTTTTTTTCCAAATATCTTAGCCCCGCCAAATCCCTCTAGAAAGTATGGGTCGGGTATGAGGCTATAAACCGTGGCCTGGTCCATTAAGGTCTCTACCCCCCTCCCTCCTCCAAGCTACCTTCATTTTGTTGGGATAAATAATTTAACCAAAAAAAATGTATCTTAGGCCTCATTTATAGTAAGCGTGCTTCACGGGTATTTTTCAAATGTAAACAGTACCTTATAGATTATAATTTCACTTATTATTTGTTCGATTTGGAAATGGGCGCTTATTAAAGCTGATTATAAATCATTATTATTTTTATTGTATTATAATTTTCTAACAAAAATATTTGTAATAATAATAATATGTTTTATATAAAAAAAAAATGATAGGGCAATATGCTAGTTTATTCGGATGACGCTGACGAAGCTTACAAATATGACTATGTAAGTGCAAACTTCTTAAGATCTCATTTAATAGTAAACACGATCGTTCAAGCAGTGCGGTATTTAATATTATCGAAAACACAGCTGATTCTTCACAGCGATAATAACTTTTTGAAATATACCTCGCAACGTGTTTTTTAAATTTTATCATAGTGTTATCATTATTTCGCTCCATATTTATAAATTATACTTAATTTATTGGCCTGATTTTGTAAATAATGCAGGGTTAAATAACGTACCGCTTGAACAAAGCGCGTTTACTATGATGCCGCCTAATTCATTATAATTTTCAAAAATAAAATAGTACAGCTATAAATAGAGACCTGCCGAGGTACCATTTGCACGACCCAGACCGGATATTTTTAAAAATAATTTATAATATTTATAGCTTATAATGGCGATTTAAAATATTTGGCTTTATAATATAAGGCTCGCCTCGGATATTTAAAATAATTATGACCAGGTATATTTAAAAATAAATGAGCCTGCAGGTCTCTCTGATCATAAAAGATGAATGATTGTTTGAGAAAAATCATTATATGTAAGAAAATATTATCAAAAAACAGCTGCCACATTTAAAATGTTAGGGGAAGGCTATTTCATGGACTCTTAGTTTAGAACAATAACCAAAGATATCACTTGGCATATCCATATGACAATTTTGGGTTTTTGGTATATTAAATACACTAATAATAGATTTAGAAAGAGAAATCAATACATAGGTTAACTTAATTCAATTAAAGGAAAATATATCCCTTTAAACGATGTATTTTTTTAAAAAAATTTATACACATAGAGCACAGGGAATTATTTTCTTAATGTTAAAATATTCTTTTCCTCGTAGTGATTAATCGTCAAAGCCATTTAAAAATCAATGACATTAATAGTCGCTAATATTATCACGTGATTGGTCAACGTGGTAAGAAAATATTCATGCACTTAGGTTGATGGTCTCACATTAACGTGGAATATATTATCGTGTCTCTAATAAAATTAGAAATAAGGAAATTATCGTTAAAATTCAAAATTTATATAAGTATTGAAATAAAATTCATATAACTCATAATGATTGAAAGTAACGAGAGTAATGTATTCATAATGCTTTATTAACAGGATTAATTTTTTTTTTATTAGAGATATTGTATCGGTAAAAAATATTAAGTTAATAACACAAATTTAACGTTCTCAATATAGTCTTTGTTTTGATTCATTATTAAATGAGTTCCAAAAAACAATATTTTATTATTTATTATTTAAAATATTATAAAACTACATAATTTTTCAAATTGCTTTCAATTAAAAATTTGTTCCATATATATATGAGATCTGCAGAGGTACCATTTACACGGCCCGGCCCGTTTTTCTAAAAAAATTTTTAAACCCAGCCCAGGTTTTAGGCCCGGCTCGGATATTATTTTAAAAATAAATTTCTGCCCGGCCCAGATTTGCCCATTTAAAATATTCGGTTTTAAAATATACGACCTGACCCAGTCCGGGTATTTTTTTTCTAAAAAAATTTTTCTTAGGCCCTGCCATGTAGAATACCTATGCTATAAATTTTAGACAATCTTACAAGATATAACATATATTACGTTATTGACTGATTACACCAATTGCTGTGATATATATATATCGTCGCATGAGAATTAAGGTTATTTTATATCCACTTTTTGGCAAAAATGAATTTTTTACATAAATTAAGTTTTTTAGTTTTTTATGATTGCACTATTCTCTTTACATTAAAAAAATCCGAAATATTTATAAAATAAATCAAACTAAATCCGATACTAGGTTAACAATCCTATTAAAAACAATAAAAATTTAATTTTTAAAATTGCTCTCCTTGTAAAATTATAAAAAGTGGAGATAGAATATTATAATTCTCAGGCCACGATATATATATAATATATATATGTAATAGGACATTTCAAGAACAAATATATGAATAAGATAATATATTATACGTATTCATACGATTAGAACAAAATAAACTATACTTATCAGAATGGTATAATTACGAATAGTTAATTATTCAATTAATTCAAATCGAATGCGGATAATTAATTATTCGATAACTATTTGTTTTTGAATAGGCCTATTTACGTAATTTGGAGTACAAATCCAATACAATGCATGATCTATTGGGGAATAAAAACAATATGCAAATTATTAAATGAAAAAAATGCCAAAAATAATATAATATAACAAAATTGTTAAATATTATATATAAAGAAATACGGATACGATACGTCGCAATACGCTCCTAGCGATTATGTCTACAGAGATCCTTATTACTCTTATGATTATGGAGGTTATGACGACTATGATTCGAAATATACTTATGACGATGTTTAGTATCTTTTTTCTATTCATTCATTCATTTATTTTCCTTCCTTTCTATGTTTCCCTAAGATTTCATTCATAGGCGGATCCGATCCGGCATAATTTAACAGCTGATCTATTTTTAAAATCTGTTTATAAGATTAATTTTTCATATTATGAATGCAGCCTAAATATGTTAAAATATAAATTATGTTATTCAGAAGCACAAGTATTCCTATGGCGGGGATGATTACAACAGTGATTATTATAGTTATGGAGGAAACACGTATTACGATTATAATGACAAACGCAAAGGTGGTTCTTCAGATTACTATTCAGGTTCCGTTTATTAATTGTCATTTTACAATTGAATATTATTAAATCCATCTAAATTTATCTCGATTTGGCAAAATGATTAATTACAAATATATTCCTGTGAAGTTTCAGTTTTATTATTGCTCGGATATAGGTGGCAAGTTCGTGAAAAATAATGTTGAAGCAACTAGCTTATCGGACGGAGTAGATTAGAATAGTTTACAGTGGGCATTAGGCTAAACGGGCTTATATCTATTAAAAATGTATTGTATATTTTAAGATTTTGCATATTTTATACGTCTAAGTATAAAAAGAATAAACTTACACGCATAATAATGAGTGCATGGGGAGGTTAAAAAATTAAAACAATTAGAAGGCAACCTTTTGGGCTACAACCCGATCGTTGCAGACCTATAATCAAATTAAATAAGATGCAATTTACGTAAAAATGAAATAAAATTTTATTGTTTAAAATTAAAAATTATTCCAAGGTATAAAAAAGTTATTGCATTATTTAATATAAATCCCTTCTCCACCCCTCCCCTAAACATCTAGGTTGGTGTGCTGACAATTTAAAATTTAAGTATAATATATGTGTATAATCATAACCCATTCATAAGCTTAATTATGTCTAATATATCGTCTCCCTCGCTTGAGAATTAGGTGATTTCATGTCCACTTTTTATCAAAAATAACTCCTTTTTTTTACATAAATCAATTTTTTATAATTATAAAATTCTATTTACATAAAAAAAATCCATAATATTTAAAATTAAGTCCAAATTATAGTCAATATAAGGACAATCCTATTGAAAGCAATAGAAACTTAATTATTGAAATTGCTTTCCTGAAAAATTACAAAATGTGGAGATGGAATAATACAATTCTCAAGCGTTTATATATAAAAATTAGTATTTATATTGATGCAATTACTATTTATAGGCACCTACAGCTCTTATGGAAAAACTGATGACTACACCTCTTATGGAAAGACGGGTGACTACAGTTCTTACGGAAAGACGGATGACTACAGCTCTTACGGAAAGACGGATGACTACAGCTCTTACGGAAAGACGGATGACTACAGCTCTTACGGAAAGACGGATGACTATAGCTCTTATGGAAAGACGGATGACTACGCCAGTGGGAGCTATGGGGGCGAGTACTCTACATATGATACTACATATGATAAATCGGCTAAATCTTCAGGAGCAGGCACTAGTTCTGAATATAGCACAGGCGCCTATGATGAGTACGGGAATGCGAGTTCTGCATATGGAACCTACGCGAGTTCTGCATATGGAACTGACGCAAGTTCTGCATATGGAACTGACGCAAGTTCTGCATATGGAACTGACACAAAGTCTGCATACGAATCTGATCCTCGTGGAATGGATTCGAATTTAGTCTATGGAACTAACCCTAATACCGCATATGGCACAGACCCTAGTGGGTCATATGGAACGGACCCGAATGCCCCATATGGCACAGACATTAGTGGTGCTTATGGAACGGACCCCTATTCCACATATGGCACAGATGCGAGTGGCAAGTATGGGACTGACCCGAATATCCCATATGACACAAACACGAGTAGCACGTATGGGATGGATCCAAATACTACATATAGCACAGACACTAGTGGCACGTATGGAACAGACCCGAAGTATGGGACAGATGCAAGCCGGTATGCCCACAACATGACCACATATGGAACGGATGCATATGGGACTGACGCTAGTGGAACATATGGGACGAACGTTAGTGGCTCGTATGGGACAGATGCGAGTGGCACATATGGAAAAGATACCAGTGGTTACAGTACTTACGCTAGTGGCTATGGGACTGACGCTTACGGAAATCCATATGGGACCGAAACCTATAGTCCAACTTACGGAACGGAAGGTTTTATTATTTCGCCACATATTTTATGATCTAGTGATCTATTTTTTATGATTATTTTTACTTCCTTAAATGTTCTTTAGACATATTGTATATCAGATTTAATCTGATTTTTTATTGTACTAGTAATATGACAAATTTAACGCTCGAATTAATATTCGTAAATATGACATCAATAAAATTCACATAACTAGAGAATATGTCGTGCTACATGGGTGTATAAATTAAAAATAATTATCTGAAGTAAATAAAAATAAATGTAATAATTAAAAATCCGTTCTTTTTTTGGTTTAGATTTGTAGTATCTAGTATATTAATCACCTGAGAAAATATTGCTAAAATTTAAAGGCTTGATCTTTTTATATTTATTTAATACATGGTCAACCAAACAGGTAAGTATCTAAGGCTGCGAATCTCGCACCAGCACTTCCAAAACTTTTCCACTGCCTCCCCCCTCTACATATTAATTTTTTCCCATGATGTATTTTTTTTTTACTATTTTAATATACCCCCGGTAACCCTGCATTCACAGTTAGAGCAAATTAGCGGCGAAGTATACAAAATATACAGTAAATATAATAATATTTGTATAATTCGCGAATTTGCGCTCTGTAAGTAAGTGCAGGGTAGGATAATTTATGGAACGAAAGCAACGACACACGGGATGGAACTTTACTTTATTTTATGTTTTTCCATATTTCAATGTTGTTTGGGATTTTATTTAAGATTACTTATTTTTTAGATTACTTATTTTTTCGCAACAAAATCTATCATTAAATTTGTAAGTTTTTAACTAATGACATAAGTATTAAATTTATTGCACAAAATGGAGATTAAAAATTTGTTACATTAGAGATAGTGGGAAATAGGTTTTTGCCTAAAACCCAATGTTACGGTGATGTTGTTTAAACATAATAAATTCTCTTTATTAATATTATAATACAAATATAAAAAAATTCTTGAATAATGATTTTGTGCCAAGCGTTAAGATCAATGTCAGTTCAATCCTTTTTCCTGAACCATTTAGATAATTAACGAGAAACCCCCCCCCCCCTTTAATGAAATCCAACTTAGAACTTGAGGTATCCTTTATAGAAAAAAATAAATATCCAGAAATTTTTTGGCCTAAGCCACAGTTGCGACTAATCGGGATGCTTACCTTTACGTTTCCATGCCATTTTAATTTTTTTTTCTTTGCAAATTATGAAAACGGGGAGTTCAAACATGGACCATAAAAAGAATATAAAAAAATATTAAGGACGGAAACACTTTTTGGTTGAATTTACAAAACTAACTAACATCAAGTCTAAACCATTTGCGAGCCTCGGGTTCAAGTCTTAAAAATTAAAAATCGTATACGAATTAAATCATTTTCTTTAAACCTTCTTTTTGCAATTTTTGTCATTTAGGAAATATATTTGAAATAACAACTGTTTACGAATATGTTCCTTACAAATAAAAATAATTTTAAATAAATGAATGAATGATTATGAGGACCGAGCTTTACTGATTTACATTACAAGACGTCTCTATTAAATGGATATTTTTAGTAAATTTTAACTATCAAAATGCTCTATATACGGGTTTTTCATTTATTAATTATTATTTATACCCTACAACCCCCCCCCCCCCTCCTTTCCAAGTATATAAAATATTCGTGACAAAATAAAATGAATTTTAAAATTTGTATGAGATAGGAGATTAGAAACTTAAATCCTGAGGCGTAATGCTTGGTTTGATTTTCGTGTAATATTTAAGGTTTCATTTTTTTTATGTATAATTCGTGGTGTTAAGCATTTAAAAAATATAAATGGTGGTTGAATACACTTAGTAGACCCATCAGATCTGACGAGATATGGAATCAGAGAGAAACGGAATAATCAGATGGGTTCACAGGCTTCATGATTTACCAATTGAAGGGCTGTACAATGCTTCTTTATTTTTTTTTATTTTCTTCTCTCTAATACAAAGGCCGAAAATGATATTTTTTTAAATAATATTATTTTAAATATTATTCATTAATCTTTTTAAAAACCTATTTCAACAGCTAGTAGTACGGCATACGCGACCGATGCGACGGGTTACAGTACAGACACATATACGAGTAGTGCCTACGACCCGAGTAAAGGGGGAGATTATTCAGATTACACCGATGGCACGACAGATCAATACGGAGAAGGTAAGTAGAGAATTGTTAATTGCTAAGAATATTAAAACAAAGCACTTCTCTTTACAGTATAATCCTTTCATGGCACTGCCAAATTCTTTTCATTCCTTTGATTTTAACGGTGTGACATCCAGAGTGACACTTTAGGGATAGTTTTTATTTTCCTAGCGCTATATTAGGAAAGAAATTTGATTGTAAAAAAACAGTATTGGATCCGATTTATAGATGGTAGGTAATGGTGGCTACTTTAATTAGGAATTATAGATATATCGTCGCGAGAATTAGAATATTCTATCTACAAATTTTACAAGAGAGCAATTTAAAAAATTTAAATTTCTATTGTTTTTAATAAGATTGTTAACCTATTATCGGATTTATTATTTATTAGCTATTTTATAAATATTTTGGATTTTTAATGTAAATAGGAATGCTATATTTATAAAAAAATTGATTTATGTAAAAAAAAGTTATTTTTGACAAAAAGTGGATATAGAACAACCTAATTCTCATGTGACGATGTATGTTAGCGTGAATGTGTTATTTAATCATTTTTTGAGCTCGTTTTATTTAACCTACTCTGTAATATTTAGAGATATTTTGCACGAACTTTTGAACCTAAGTATAATTTATATTAATTTTTTTTTAAAAAAATATAAATTATAAATGGCTCAAAAATTAACGGTAAAATTGTCTGAAATTTATAAGGCACGAGGTAGTATTCAAAAACTTGCTGGGATACATTTCCGGTATGAATAGATTTTAATTATTTAAAAAAAGGCGCTAAAGTTATATTGACACTAAAATATATATATATTTTGTTGAAGTTCTGTAAAATACTGAAAGCTTTTAAGAAACTAGTTGGTCTATTCTCAAACAAATGAATTATTCGATTATTTTGAACGATTTGAATAAATTCATATTAGTAATTTTACTAATCTCAATAAGATACTTAATTATTCGTAACTGTTGGTAAACGGTTCGATTAACAGCACTGTTAAAAATTAAGATTAGCCAAAATAATATTCTACAAGCCTTGAGATTTTGTTTGTAGATGTTCAAACCTTTCCGCCGTTTATAGGCAAAATCTTTAGGCTTGCGAAATATTTTTTGAGTAATATAATGGGCTAGCCGTTTAACAACACTATACATATCTACATATAACGCTCAATATATATTTTTTAAAATATAATATTATTTGCAGAAACTAATACGAAAAGCGCGTAAATATCGGAAAAATTTCAGAAATTTTAAAGAATGTTGTGCGGAACAAATATTTATATGATAATGTCCATTTCATTTTATCTATTTTTATAATTTATATTAATAATGCTTTGTCTTATAATAATGATTTTTATCCAAACAAATAAAACATTTTCGTATTTTTTTTAAAGAAAAAACAGTAATATTAATTGATTATAAGTAACCCAAAATGTAATCCTAAAGATTTTGCTTGGAGGTGGCAGAAATGCTTGGACATCTATTTGCCAAATCTCGATGCTTACATAATATTATTTAGCTAAAATCTTAATCGGGCCAGCTTTTTTAACAATACTACTTGTGAAAATAATTTACCTGATTCCGTAAAAACATAAATATGAGTTACGAGGGTTAGTTCATGTCAAGACTGTGGATCCTCCTTCTAAGAAAAGGGTCCAGGTTCAGTGAAATATTTTGAACCAGGTTCGAGTTCGTGGTCCAGAAAAACAAATATTTAGTAAAAATAACAGAAACAACAGTTTTATTTAAAATTTATTTTGCTATATTTATTCATCGTAAAAATAATTTATTATTATAATTAGAATAATACAAAAAAATTTCAACAAATAATATTGTATTTGGTTTTTTAAAATTTTATAAGAGAATTATGATATTTTCCAAAATAGAGAGGTTAAAATTAAAATATCTTTTTTATGCCTAACTTTGACAATGCATTTCAGCTTGAATTTAATTAAGCTATTTTACCTTGTGATATTGTTCTTTGGTTTTATTTAATTATCCAACAAACAATAAATATTCCTAAATATATATTATTGTATACATTACCTATTATAAAATTAATCCTATAAAATATGCTGGTTAAATTTTAAAATTTTTGCATAAAATGTAAATACTCTTAAAATTATGATAAAAAAGATTCCACGAAAAATGTTATATTGAAAATAAAGAATTTATATTTCAAATAAATATTTTTTTTATATTTAATTTTAATATACTTTCACATATATGTTATAAAAAAAATATAGTATTTTTAAAAAGGTTATTGAGCCCTTAAACCCTAAATTTAAAAAAAGGGTTTGGATTTCAGTAAATTATCGAGGGTTCTGGTTCACATATATTAAAAAATAAAAATTTATCAAGGCTGTGCCCTAAATATGGTTTTAATATTTGCAAAAATACAACTTTCAGAGGTTTTTAAATTTTCCAGAATTATATTTAGTACACGTTTTTTTATTTTTATATTAAAAATCATTTCTTTTTTTTTCTAGTTGGTTACAAAGTTTACGAATTATATTTTGATATTTAGGACACGGTTTCAAAAAAAATAATTTAATATCTGTTTGCTAAGTTTTAATCAAAAATTAAATCAGTAAGAATTTTCCAGAATTATATTTAGGACACGTTTTTTTATTTTTATATTAAAAATAGCTCATTTCTTTTCTAGTTGGTTACAAAGTTTACGAATTATATTTTGATATTTAGGACACGGTTTCAAAAAAATAAATTAATATCTGTTTGCTAAGTTTTAATCAAAAATTAAATCAGTAAGAAAAGGAAATGTTTTTTTTTAAAACTTGAACCATTCCTATCCAGTGCCATTAGAGCTAGACTTCCAAACCGATTTTAATGACGCATTTGTTTTACCCCACCCCGTGTTAGGAGACTCTGACCATGCTCTTTAATCAGGAATATTTACCCCCATAGGCCAAAATTGAAAGCTAAATTTGTAAAACTGAATTCCAGCCCTATTCCTTTAGTTCCCTTACAAGATAATATTTGATATCGAGATTGCAGAAATAGGCATGCACAAAAAAAAATATTTTTGAGCGTTATCTACTTTTGAAAGAGGAGGTTATTAGCGGAGGAATGAGGTCACACTAGCGGGTCTGGGTTTTTAAAATTTTTTTAAATGGGCTTGGGCCTAAAATTATTAAATTTAAATTATTTAAAAAAGTTGCTAATTTAATGAAATATTGCCTTTCTTTCTAATAATAAATTTCAGTATTGTAAACAAAATGATTACCTAAATATAATTATCATAAAATAAATAACAAATTAAATTTTTGTATAATGGGTTTGGGAAATTTTTGTGAAACTTATTATGGGCTTGGGAATTTTTTTTAACATTAAATATGGGCCGAGCCGGGCTTGGTCAAAAAATTAAGGCCCGTGAAAGTCTCTGAATAAGGTAAGATGTCAGACTTATAAACTACTGGCAAAAAAGATCCGTAGACTTGCTAACGTACTTTTAAGATTTATCTAAACTGATACAAATTCCAAACACCATCGATACTGATACATTTCCCTCAAAATGTATTTGATGCGATATGAAAATCATCAAATTATTATTGTAACTCTCGGTCATAATTTTTAAGGCCATGCTCTCATTTACGTGTTTTTTTATGTGCTTGGTTTTCTAGATCAATCTTACATGAAAATATTTCAATTTTTTCCGTTCTTTTCCCTTAGAATTATACAATATAACTCTTTTTTTAAAAATTATATGCCTTGCCTTCACCTGAATTATACAACACTGCCAAACAATTCTCAAAATAATAAGCAAGGATATTACAACCAACCAAAAACTTAATTTTCCCACCTATCATCAAGTTCATAATGGATATTGATCCCAAATTTTATAATAGGCAACAACAATCCAATCCAATAAGAAATCGGGGTGGAGAAACGATTTAGAATTAGGATAGGTTTTTCCGAAAAGAGGGCCAGATCTAATTTGAATCTGGTGGCATAAAACCACATTAAGTTTCATATCAGACCCTAAATTTGATTTTAAAAATCATATCTTCTAATATTTGGACATTTTTTTTGTAACTTTTTATTTTCTGAATTCGAAGAAATCCCAATTATACATTAATAATTTATAAAATTATCAGGAACAATTCGAATTTATATTAAGCAGATTACTATAAAAATTATTACTAAAGTTCCAATAATGATATCACCCCAAATAAAAAATAATTGTGAATTATCGAATAAAACCTTGGTAAAATTATGATATATTGGAAATAGGCTGAGAATTACAGAACAACATTAAAAATTAATAATGAAGGTAAAGATATTATAGATAATGAGGGAAATGATTGTTTAAATTTTATTGAAGAAGATTCATGTCCAATACATATAAAAAATATTTATTTTTCGAATTTATAAAATAAAAACTGAAAATTAAAAATAAAATAATAATATGGAAATTTGGGAGATGAGAAAACCCCTAAAATCACAATTTTATTTATTTATCAAGACCAATTTTATATTTAATAACTTTTTCTAATTATTTATTTCTTTCTTTATTATATACTGACCAAATATGCTGAGATTATATATCCTTTTTTGAATCATATAGAATTCTTATTCAAACATGATTTTTTTTTTCTCCAAAAATATGGTGAAATCACTAATTTTGCCAAGCTTGAGAGCAAGTTTTCTTTATTCCTAAAATCCAGTCTCAATCTTCAAGTAAAGACTAAACTTAGAAGTTTATCAATTTCTTTCTTATGCCCATGGAACCAAATACTTAAAATTAAAACAAACGAATATATAGTGTCCTGATTCAAAAATTAGTCTATACTAAAAAGCAATTAAGATTCCAAATTAAGACGACCCAAGACACAGACTAAATATATATAAAAAAATTATATTAAATATTTAATAATAAAATACTATGTATAAATCTATTGGAACATATTTTATCTTACTTTTTTTGGAATCACAAAATACGTGATTTATAAATATATCTATAATAAATAATAAAAATACAATTTTGTTGGCCAGAAAGTCATTTTGTAAAAAAAATGATTTAGCTCCAAGGTTTCTAGAATAATATTTTCCACCCCTGGTTACGAGTTGAATTATGATTTTCTTTCTAAAAAGCTATTATCATTTAGACATATGTAAATTCGCGAAATGATAATTAGATACAAAGAATAGTGGAGGGTATTTATCTTGAGAAATATCGAATACCGTTTTTGATTTGTTGCCATTACTAAATAAAATAATAAGCATTTAAGCGATAAAATTTTCTGATAATTTATATCTAAATAATACTTATTCATATATTATTTTCCATAAGATCCATCTCCATAAAATAATTATTTGCAAAATAATTTCTATATAAAATCATTCTCTATAAACGGCTTTCTCTATATACAAGATTCTCTATATACAAGATTCTCTATAATTGTTTTCTCTATATTTGTATTCTCTATAAAGGTTTCTCTGCAAAAACGAAATACCCGATTCGACATGATTTTTAACAGCTGGGCAATTATTTTAAAATCTTTTAGTGGAATCTTTTCTCTATTAAAATCAGAAATTCTTATGATTATTAATATTATCATGAATAGAATTAAAGATAACACTAACAAAGATAAATGTGATCTCTCATAAACAGATTTTTAAAAATTCAATCAGCTAATAAATCGTGTCGGAAATAGAATGGTTAAAAAGCCCTATTTGGGTCGATTTCTTAAAAAATGATCCAATCAAGATTTTAGCCAAAATAAAAATTATGCAAGCCTGGAGATTTTGTTCAAAGATGGCAGAAAGATTTGGACCTCTATTTGCCAAATCTTGCGGTTTACATAATCTTATTTTGGCGGAAATCTTAATCGGGCCAGCTTTTATAAATCGACCCGAATCAAGCTTTTTAACCCTAATCGGACCGGATCCACTATGAATCCAACTAGTGTTGTTAAACGGATTTTTAAAAACGGCTAACCCAATATTTTAGCCATAAATATTAAGCAAGCCTGGAGATTTCGCTCATAGGTTTGAACATCTATTAACGAAATCCCGAGACTTGCATAACATTTTTTGGCTAAAATATCGTGTTTGCCGTTTAACAACACTAAATCTAACCTTCAAAGTAAGTTTTAAAACTTTTTAGACACGTGGTATTTTTTAAAAAAAATAAAGTTGCAATAAACCCGTATTTGGTAAGTAGCGAATATTGTTTCCACTGTAGTTTTCTGTTGGGTTGACCTTTAGCATTTTTCTGAATACCGAATTTCTGCGTGGGGAAAAAAGTAGATTAAATTAATAATCTTAAAAATATAGGAATTATATCTGATATGATTGTAGTGTAAATCTTAGAGTCCCAGAAACTTGGTTTAAAAAAACTCTATCCTTAAATCAATCTTTTTCCTTAGTTTGGAGACCCGAAAAAAAAAAATTTGACGACGGTCCGGTTTTGTGGGTTTTTTAATATAGTATACGACCATTTTTTTTCTCTCTTCTTCCTTCTATATATTACATAAATATGATTAATGATAAATCATACGATACGATATAACATGGAAAAGTATTTAAAAAATGGGAAAAAAAACAATAGAAAAACATCCATACCATATAATAGGTAGAAACGTTAAAAGTTTTATTGGCCTTGCTTGCCCCGGTCCTAAGTGCACCAGCGTTACGAATTCTCAATGATCGTATCGAATTTTCTAAAACCGCACTTTTCTTCGAAACGATCACAACAATATCGATCGATTCTAATGGTATATCAAGCTGATTACCCGTTGTTTCGTTAAGATCGGCGTGAATATGATAACTCCCTGCCATTAATCCAGGCATGAGAGGATTACCTGAGGTGGCGTGACAGTTGCCTATAATGTCGAGGTTGCAATTCATCAATTTAGGCAACATAAGGTTCGGGGCTTCTAAGCTATGAAGAGCCCATACTTTATTATTATAATAATCGTTTAAAAATTAGACATTCAAGGGTTTATAAATTTAGCAGAGACCTGTAGCCCCGGCCCGGGTACACTGGTAGGGCCGTATTTAAATTTTTCTTAATATACCCGAGACGGGCCTTAAAAAATATACTTTAAATATACAGGGACCAGGCCGGTCCTAAAATTTTGATCTTAAGTATCGGGTCATATTTTAAAACCGAGCCATAAAATTAAATGTAATATATTCTAAAAAAAATCCGGGCCATGCCGGGCCTAAAAATATAAAATCCGGGCCAAAAATGTTTGTGCGGATCTCTGGTATTTTGAGATGTACCTGTAGATGTTTTGAGAGAACGAGATGGAGAGAAGAATTTGAAATAACGGTAATAATTAACGGAATAACATGGGAGGCAGGATGAATCAGGCGAAAAATCGCTTTGGCCATATCGCCAATAACTGGTTTTGCTGATGTACCAACCTTGAATAAATAAATTTAAAAAAAGATATATTTAGACTCTGAGTAAGTAAAATTTGATTTAGGAATTAGATTTCTCAGTATCCGTTATTTATATGAGACAATAGATTTCAAATAAATATACTTTTTTTTAGTTTAAATGATATTATAAATATAGAAGAAAAGAATGTAAAAAATTAAAAATAAAAAATGGTTTGTATAAAATATAATCATTTTGTTCTTGCTTGAATTTTTTTTAATTTGAAGTTGTATGGATTAGTTCAGATAACATATTTAATCTCAATCAATAACTTCCATATTTTCCCTCTAATTACCGTGAAAAAGGAGGATGTACAGTGGATATGGTCATTTATTATAGATATATCCAAAAATAAAATTTGTTATAGTAATAGAACTGTTGGAGTGGTATAGTATACTATATTTCAGAAATTTTAAAAAATTTACATCCAAGTATAACTGAAAACTACATAGATTAGAGGCCAGGGCTACCAACGTAAAATTCCCAAGAATTTTGAGCTTTGTAAAATTCCAAATTGGCTAAAATGAAAAAATTTAATCAATTTTTTTAGCACAAAATGAGTCAGGTATGACTCCAATGAATTAGATATAATAAATAGAGTAAAACCCCCAAAACTGCAATATATTAATTTTTGATGCATATAAACTTTTATAATACTTGAAATTATAATGACTGAAATATATTTATTTATATATAAAATTGATTAATCGGAGAATAGGAGTTCAACACATGATCTTCATCACCATGTGCTGATAATATATATTGTTTTCCAAAATTTCATGAGTCAAAATAACTGGATAATATCTGTAGTGTAAATAATTTTATGGTTGTAAATATAAATTGCATTCCAGACATTTATTGCTAATGTTACTTGAAATTTTTCAAAAATATGACCAAATTCTATCTGAAGCAGCAGTCATAGAAATTGATAAAAGTCTTATAGCAATCATACTTATAAGTTGATGCAGACCTGTCCACCATATTAGAGGTTGTACTTTCTTTGCACTTTGCCATATTCCCACATTTCGCCAAAACCACTTTTGATTGATATTACTCCAATATCATTATTGAATTCTGCAATTAGGTCATTGATTGCAGTCATGCCAGATAATATCTTATCATTGACTAGTTTAAGATCATTGAAACGAGGATCAAATATGTTTGCAGCGAAATGAATCTGACAACAAAACTCTTTGCGATTTTTCACTAGCTGTAATATATATATTTCAATTCATGTTTTTTTTCACTTTTGAAATAATGTAAAATGAATTCAGTATTTGTAATTTGCATTCCCAAGAATTTTATTATTTTGGGCATATGTCTAGCTTTTATATTAGTTTTCAAGGTAGCCCAGACCAAACTGGTCACTTGCCTATCAGGTTTATTGGCCAAGCCTTGCCTGTAATTATTTACTACTGGCCAATAAAAAATTATATGTCAAACTTTTCTGCCCACCATAATCCTTTATGAAAGAAAACAACATAAATCTGCCTAATTATCAGCTAAAACATTTTATAAACTTATGCCTAGCCTTACCTATAAAAAAATTTGCATCATTTGCCCAGTCTGGCTTGGTTCTCTGTTATAGATAAAATAATCACAATTTAGATAAAAAATAATAATATAAATTTAATAAATGAATAATGATATTGATGTTAATTCTTACAGTGATATTTAGTATTTACCATCAAATCTAGGGTGGGGTCTATTTACAATCATATCTTTCCATGATTTGTATTTGTTTGAAGATATCAATGAGGGGTGACAGTTTGAAGGTATTTCTGAGAAAGTAATTGTGTTTACACTCCATAATTGACTACAAGCTTTAAACCATAATTGTTCATCTCTAGCACATAAATAAAAGTTTTTACAAACCTAATCTAAAATAACTTTAGATTAAGACATTAATTTTACCTTTGCTAAATTTTCAACATATTTAACATTTAATTCATATGATAAAACTAATTTAAAAATATATATAAGGATCTCTTTTGGCAATTTGTTTAATATTAGGCATTTGTTCTTATTGTGAATAGTTGCCTTTTTTACTTCTTCTCTAATATTTAAATTTAAAATATCTGATACAATCTTTGTTTGATCTAATGTATTCACTAGTTGATTAATAATTCTAAATATAATTTAGAAATTTTATTTAAATTTAAAAAAGTACTTATCATCTATTTGTTTTTCTTTAATATTGCTATAAATATTTTCATGTTTAGCATAATTTAAACAAGATAAGGCTTTAGAAACCTGTATATCAATGTCTGGAACTATATGTATGGATTTACGATAATAGTCTAAGGCATCATTTATATTATTGTCTTTTTCATAAAGCATACCTTTCAAGTATAATTTTTTAGCCTACTTCTTAAATTAATACCAAACTGTAAATATAATTTAACTCTATCCAATTCAATTTTAGGTATATTGGTGTTATTCTCAAGATTTGTATCAATGATGCTACATTTTTTCCATAAATCTTCAAAATCTCTCTCCATCTTAGAAAAATTATTCTCAATGTTATAATATACATTTTCTGAATCATCTTCATCACTTTCTTCAGATAATATACTATCCTTTTGCATTTGATTTGGCGAATAAGTTATTGGCCATATGTTTTTTTAATAAAAAAATTAGTATGAGATGACAGGTAATTAAAAGAAATCAATCAATTGACAGATATCAAGTAATTAATCAATAAAACCACATAACTTATTTTAAAAAAAATGATTAAAATTTCAAATTTAATATTGAAATAAATTTGGAACAAGCTATATGCTTTTCTCGAATAAATAAGTTTTCGGAGGAATTATACTCAGGTCATCGCAGCTTTTTAGTTTATTTAAACAAAAACCTAGATGTGACCTGAGCTTTTTTCCAGTAGGGTAGATATTGATCACCTCATTTTGGGGAAGGGGGTTAGAGGGAGTGTCGAATTAATTTGTTTAGTATATCGAATAAAAATCACGCTTCTGGATTTTATTACAAAAATACATATGGCATGGGTTATAAAAGTTACATTTTTTTAAAGGTTTATTTTTAGAATTTGTGCAATGAATTGAGGGACCAATGAAATAAATATTTCAGTGTTATTAGCAGTTTGAATATGTGTTTATTTTATAAGATTAAGTATTATTTAAATTTTTAATACCCATATAATGGTGATCTGATCAGGCATCCGTCATAGGAACAAAAGTGATGTTAATAAAAAGCCCGAAGCGGATAGATTTTAAATGAAGGCCAGATTAAGTTTATAACCAAAATAATAATGTAAGCCTAAAATTTTTCTCATAGGGAGAAATGCTTGGCCATCTACTTGCCAAATCTTGATTTGCATAATATTATTTTAGCTAAATTCTAAATCGGGCCCTTTTGTAAAATCGACCCAAAATGACTTTTTAACAACACTGAAAAGCCTCATAAATATTAGGACAGAAAAGATTGCTCAGTATCAAAAATTTCGATTTTAAATATCATGGATAAATTTTTTTTTTAAAGTATAGTATTTAAGGGGAATAGGAGTAAAAGAATATTATATTATATAATTGTTAATGTGAAAGTATGTTTACTAATGCATTTAGCTGACTGGCTGTATAATATATTGTAATGATCTTGAGCATATTATACTAATGATATCAAACAAGCGAACACTAAATATCAAGCTCGCCATTATGACTAAGTTTCAGAACAAAGATGTGTACTCAGGTCATCGCCTTTTAGTTAAATCAAACAAAAACCTAGGTGTGACTTTAGTTTTTTTCAAGAGGAGGTTTATTTCGGAGTAGGGCTTGAGTATGATATGAATTTGTTTAGTATATCGAATAGAAAATTACGCTTTCTGGATTTTATAACAAATATATATTATTTATGAGATGCTGAATAATTGCTATTTTATTTTGTCTTTCTATGCAAACTCATGAGGCAATATTTACTAATTATCTTTAACCTAATAGAGGTATAACTATCAAAGGCGTCACTAACCTTTACAATTTCAGGGGACACAAAATTCATTTTTCAAATCTTTTTCAAAATTATTTTCTTTTATTTTTTTAGCAAACATTATCTAAAATTACATTTTTTTATTCGCTAAATATTTAAAATGTTAGCTATTTTTTTTAGCTACTGTTATAAATATTGCACTATGTATATAAAAATATAAAAAATTTTCCTGTTTTTCGAGCCACTGTGTCCCCTAGTGACATTACTGGTGACCATAATTGATAACCCATAATCCCAATTCATCGTCATATTTTTTATTTATGATGACTTTTTGATAGCCTATAGCCCCATCGTAATACATAATGATTTCATAATTAGCCAGGTTTTTATCAGTATCGATTTTCATATATTATCATATTCCATATATAAAATTCATAGGCGTAACCAGAAGCCCCTCTTTTCTTCAGAAATAAAAATATCCTCTTTGCTCCCTAACCATACTCTGCCTCCTAAAAATATATGCATATATCTTAAACAAAAATTTAAAGTAAAAAATGTAAAAGTTAATAATGTTTTAAACAAAACTAGTGACTATAATTCATATTTTTCTTGGAAAAAAGCATTTATATATACATAAAGTAATGAAATATAAGCCAAAGACAAGTCTTAAAAAAATAACCTCCTACCCTATAAAAATATTTTCTAATTGTATATAGGCTAAAATCCGACCGAAGTTTGAGCAAAAACGGGACGAAGTCACGCTATATTGGAAATCTGGCGGATGAAACCACCATAAATTTATTTATTCCCCCTAAAAAATTCTTACTAGGTCTATAGCCTGGATAAAAGTGTCACTTTTACCAATCGTTATCCATATAAACCTATTTTTACAACATTGCATAGTTCCATAATATTCAATTAATTATAAGATTACACAATATTTGCCCAAATTAAATTAAGTTACCATAATCTCAATTATTATTTTATCAATCAACTCAATCATCAAATTAAATTAACATTTAAAATTTGTACTATAAAATCAGTTGTTTCAATAATATTCCACTCTCAACATGACATGCATTTTCCAAAATTAATTTACAATTTTATCATTAACATTGTTTTAATTTAATAACTCACATATTCCATAATAATATACCAATTATTTTCATGTTAAATATTTATATATGCATTTTAATTAATGATAAGTCATATTTTTTTGTAATTAAAATAAAATAATTGAATCCATAATATTACATAATATAAAAATAGAAACCAAAAATATATTTCCCTAAAAGTACCATTTACTAAAAAATACAACATATCGTATAATTCTTAGCACAAAGGCAACAAACCTTGCGAAATATCTAAAAACTATTGTACATACATCAAAGCTTAGCCAGTATCGCATTGTTCAATCAAATCTAACGGATCTATGATTAATATATCTATATTTCACGTCTTAAGTATATTAGATAATTTATCATATGATTAAATAGAGTTATAATAGAGTAATAATGTATTTTAGTTTAATAATAACTTATAATTTTATTCTATTTATGTTTATGAAAACACTGGTGTAGAGAGCTTTTGAAATGGCTAAGACTTTGAATGAAAACATCGGTTATATTAATATATTAATGAGTAATGCCCAAATAGACACTATTTAAAAATTTACAAGAATAAATTCCCTCAGAAATAAAACGCAAAGCTTCTTGGATATTTTATGGGGTGCCGATAAATCCATTACTATAATTGTTTCCAAAAAATATTTAAACATTGACCAATCCATATGAGTGTATGGAATACAAAAATGAAAGTGCGCTATTTATACACTGCTTCATCAGTCGTTCCGACAAATAAAAGATAATACTACCCATATATGCAGAGATCTTGGACAAACTATCAATATTCAATGAACATTAATTAAACAAGTTAAAATATTCTTCACATATGACGTGAAAGAAGCTTACTTGCAACAACTAGAATTATATTACTAATGAAACAAATTTCGGATCAATATCAATACCATATTTAGCCCTTTTAAATATCTTAATGCCCTTTGGGTTATAATCATGCGGAGCCAAGATTTTGCTAGGAGATTGGGAAGGGGCGATCGGGTGGGATTTTTTCCATAAACCTTATCGGAATCAGATCAACTTATTGCAGGCGTTTGGCAATATTCGATTTTTATAAAATGAATTTCGGTCTTTTTAAAAAGAAATAAAGTCGTTATTTTAAAAAATAATTAACTTATGCAAATTTTTCTTTCAAATTCTTGTTTATAGTGATATATTGTATAAACTTTTGGGAATGGGAGATGGGTGTAAGGGAGAAATTTTTATTGGTTTAATTATTTAAACCTATGTATGCACTAAAAATACTATATGACACAAAATTAAATATGAAACATGTGTTTTTAATACCACAGAAATAAAATATACATATGAGGTAAAATCAATGGTGGCGACATACAAATCATGCGTAAAAATATAACCGTCCTCCTACCATTAACACGTAAAAGTGTTGAAGTCATCTATTCGACTACTTAATCACCGATTTATTTCTGACCTTGCAACTAGTGTTGTTAATCGGCTTAGCCGAGTCGGCTCGAACAGAGCTCACCCAAATTTTGGGTCGTTTTTTTCGACTCCAACTCAAAGTTTTGGTCGTTTTTTACGACTTCGACCAGAGTTCAAGCCGAAAAAAACGACTTCGACCCAAAATATGGGTCGTTTTTTTCGACTCCGACCCAAGTCCAAGCCGAAAAAAACGACCTCGACCCAAAATATGGGTCGTTTTTTACGACTCCGACTCAAAATTTGGGTCGTATTTTTCGACTCAAACTTGAAATTTGGGTCGTATTTTTCGACTTAAACTTGAAGTTTGGGTCATATTTTTCGACTCAAACTTGAAGTTTGGGTCGTATTTTTCGACTAAAACTTGAAGTTTGGGTCGTATTTTTTGACTCAAACTTGAAGTTTGGGTCGTATTTTTCGACTCCAACTCAAAGTTTGGGTCGTTTTTCTGACTCAGACTCAAACATCGGGTCGTTTTATTCAATCCGACCCAAAATATGGATCTTTTTTTAAAGACGACTTAAAGTTAGGGTTGCTTTTTTTCACCCCTAACCCAATTATCTAGATCATTTTTTTCGACCAAAAGTCAAATAACATTTAGTATATATTAATATTATAGGCGGGAAAGTTACTTAAAGCTTCTTTAAATTATAATGCTCTGATTAACTATTCATCATAGTTATATTTTAAAATTTTTAAGTGATGTACCATAGAAAAGTGCCATTTGTCATGATAATTATTTTTGAACTTTTTTAAATGAAATAGATAAAAATCTATATTGTAGACATGTTAAATCAAAATTTCAGTGATGATGTACCATAGATAAGTGGTAATTGTCATAATCGCTATTTTTGAACTTTTTTGAGTTTTTTTAAAGCAAATTGCTAAAAATATATATTCTAAACATGTTAAATTAAAAATTCAGTGAGGATGTATCATAGATAGGTGACAATTGTCATAATCGCTATTTTTTAACTTTTTCAAATTTTTTTAAAGGAAATATCTAAAAATATATATTCTAAACATGTTAAATTAAAAATTCAGTGAGGATGTATCATAGATAGGTGACAATTGTCATAATCGCTAT